TACAATGGATGATAGTGGATAATTATAGACATGCTTTCAAAATGGCGTATGCTGAACAATTTTATTTTCAGTCAACTTGGAGCACACTTAATCATTTTATGGCAAGAATAGGTAAATGTTGGCTGAACTGTATAAAATAAGGCGTTCAAGGATGCAATTCGGAAGCGTAAAAAGACTTGAGGCATATGCAAGAGAACTATCTTCACGTAGCAGACTGACATTTGTGGTGAATTCACTGAATTGCTCTGAAGCTAACAGTTATTATTGTTATTCTGGCTATGTGAAACCAATCTATCTGCATGAGTTCTATCATGATTTTAAACAGCAAATCGATGCGTTGCGTATGAGTTGTATCGACCAGCTTACTACACAGTCAACACTTCACCAATTTGGAATTTGAAACATTTTGGTGATAAGAATTTTATACCGACGTATCCCTGCGATAAAAAGACTCACAAGAAAACTGTTTTGTTCAGAGTAAGGTAAAATATTTTACTCTCTGATTGCCTAAATATTCTTTGAGTATTTAAAACTGGCTCATATAAGACCATACATGTATGTAGTTAATGGGATCTACATTTTAGCTAGCGTGTGCAATATTTTTATAAGTAAAACGATGGTAGTGAGGTAACTTAGTGATTAAATGTACTTGAAAGCCGAGGGAGATTTTGTAGTAAAAGTCACAAGACTTGTAGCACCGAGGGACTTTAGCTAACCTGCCAGGGCTTTCAAGTGCATTTGATTGCCAAATTGTTTTAGTCAGTGCTTCACACACTGTTTATAAATTTGGATCTGCAGCTATTATTACCTAAGTGAAGATCTATTGATTGTCATGCTTTATTTTATCTCCATGTTTTTATATTTTCACCATCATAAGTTGAACATTTGAGTTACCTTGCATGAGTCGTTTTTACTTAAAATATGTTCTTTAACAATTTTGGTTCATCATTGTTTTTGTTTTCTTGTAATTGATTTTATTTAGTATTTGTTAATATTGCAACTAAAATATTAACTCATTTCAGTCTCCGCTTGCTGAAATCAAGATGGCTTCTAACCTTGAACATTTCAAACATTACAACTCAATGGTTGAAACCAATGAACTATTTAATCAAGTTACATTTGTTTCATCGTGTGCAATTCCTCTTTATGGATATCAAAGATATAGACAGTTATTCAAGAATGAAATAAAATATAGAATGTTTTCATTTGTTGATTTGACATACAGATTGGTTTGTTTACCTCCCAAAAAGGAGGAAATTTGTTCACAGCGAACATAAATGCAGTCTTTACAATGTTTTTTAGCTGTCTTGTCATAAATATCGAAAATGTTTAATGATTGATAATATTTTTAATTGTTTAACTAAATGAGTTTGTTTTATGCTTCATTAGAAACTGATGGAAGCTTTGAATAATTTTGGTCAAAACGGCAGATAAATCCTGGGGATGGGGGATGAAGCTTTCTATGTTTACAGATGTATACCATTGTGAATTTATAATTTCATTGCTATCACAATTTATAGATTAATATAAAAATTTTTGATGCTATGAAATGGTCTCATCAATGTGCAACAATTGAACTGGATTTCCAACTTCCTGAGAGATTCAACCTCACGCTAGGTAAGTTTTGCCAGTAAGCTTTTCGTTGAATAACCTCACTACGGTCTTGATACTTAATTTATTCAACCAACAGTGACATGATTATTTGTTTCTATAGAAACCTATTGTTATATATTTATATGCTTATATATACTATATACTTATATGCAGCCTGCTACATTGCTGAACACTGAAAGTCCCACCTGCATTCAAACTCCCCCGCAAACAAACCCACCCGCATATAAGTATATAGTTACATTTAATATTGCAATGTTAACAGATAATTGCAATATAATAGTTAATAGTCCATGCATGTATCCCTGTGCATCCATCCCCCCCATGTAAATATCATTGATAATGGCTCACAAACATATGTAAGCCTGTGTATTATAGTCAGAGGATTACGGCACAGTTTAAGTTTCCATGAAATTGTAGATCTTTACAAATTGTAACAATTTAGTAATTTATCAATATTCTATTACTCTATTGACAGTGGTGAAGGAGATAGAAAATTACATCCTGTTATTATTCATCGAGCTATTGTAGGTTCAGTTGAAAAATGATTGCTATTCTTGCTGAAAGCTTTGGTGGAAAATGGTGAGTGTTTTCTTGGCTCATGCCAGAGCTTAAAGCAAATGAAATGTCCTTAAAATGTTAAATTAAAATGATACAAAGTTTCTTAATTGTTTGGAAATTTTTATCATTTTACTCTACTACTTTATTTCAAAATTTTGACGCACTGCATTTTCTGTTATTTTCTAGGATTTTATGGCTTTCTCCCCATCAAGTTGTAGTAATTCCTGTCAGTAGTAAATATGATGATTATGCCGAACCGGTAAATTTAATTTGGTAAGCCTTAGATCGAACTTGCACAGGCTAATGCAAACTCAGCTATGGACAAATTGTTGCTATTTTATGAATTGGAATTTTTTTGTCCTTTTTTTTTTATTGACATTTTGGTCATGTTTAGATTCAAAAGAAGTTCCATGCAGCTGGTTATCGTGTTGATACAGACTTGGATCACGGATCAACACTAAATAAGAAAGTTCGCAATGCACAACTTTCACAGTACAACTTCATTCTTGGTATGAATAAGTCTTTTTTATTTTTATTTACTGTACAAATAAATAGAAATTAAAATGGTTTGGAACCACTGTTGGTGTTCAGAGTTTACTGACGTTTCCACAACATTAGTCAGGTTCGCCGTATTTGTTCTCTAGACGTCATGACAGAGAGGAAAATATGTGGATGTTTTAGTTTGTGTGGTATACTTATTAATTGTTCGCTTGTAAGCCGTTTATAAGGTGCTGATATTTGTATTCTGTTCAATGATTTTTGTTTTGAGTTTGTTAACCTACTTTCTAACGTAAGTCGTTGTCTATAGTCAGTGCTGTTTGTAATGTTGTGCATTGTGATGCTCACTTGTCAGTACTCGTTGTTCTTGGTAGTCAGTTGATGTGCGAGTTGTAAAATGTAAGGTATTATCGTTTGCTGTTGTTGGATTGTTTGTTGTTTGTGTTTTTGTTTGTTTGTTTTGTGTTCATTGTCTTTTAAGTGTTGTCTATTTTAAAAGCAAAATAGATGTTCATTTTATTACTAAATGCGATTGGTTAAATGGTTTTATGTTGTTTTTAAACAGTTGTTGGTGAAAAGAGACGGTCTCAGACACGGTCAACGTCAGAACACGTGACAACAAAGTACTCGGTGAAAAATCGGTCATGGCCGTGATCGAACGCTTGCGAGATTTAGTCATCTCACGAAGTCTGACAAGCGAAGATTTTGAAGTAAAACAACATTTTATGGTAAAGATAAAATGAATTTACTCACAAAAATAAATTTGAATGTAAATCCCATGATGCGTCGCAATTATAGAAAAATAGGTACGCGTACATGCCACTGGTCACTGGCAAACTGGCGGCATTGGTCACTAATACTTTATCAGTGGTGGTAATATTGATTTTATCGTGGTGGTAAATTCTTCCATTGGTAATTTATGGCGATAACCATCAGCAACTTTTCAACTTTTACCATCAAGTTTTCACTCAAACGAGATCGCTTCTTTCATATTTTGGCTTGTTTCTTGAGCTAGTAGGAGGCTGTGTGCGTTGATACAAGAAAAACTTTGTTGTGCAGAGGAAGGTAAAGATATTTTACTCGCAGAATTACTATATATTTATCAACAAAGTAGTTCATACTACAGCGATGAAAAATATAAAGCGTCGTATTTAACGCAAACCTTGGTTAAACCAGGGTTAGTTGACACATGTGCACTTGTATAATATGTCCAAATGGACATGTTTTGTGGAATTCCCCTTCATTTGGTAAAATATTATCGCAGTGGACCAAGATCGTCCCTCGTTTTGACAGTCATTTGCTATTCGTACTGGAGCTCTAGAATTTTACTGTTTTTAGTGGTAAATGTGACCAATTCCTCATTCGTTTTCTTGTTATTGTGTGATGCTTAACATAGCAAAACAAAGAGTAGCTATATAAATGTAATTTTCCTGCCACACTTACAAACATTTCATATGTCAGCTGCAAGACCCGTAACAGACTGTGACAAATTTTTTGTTTGGTGAAAAAAAATTAACATATCTTGTCGAGTCTCCATTTGTGAATATCCATTTGAGAAATGCTTGCAAGAATATGGGCTACAAGATTACAAGAATAGAATGCGGATTTGAAACGAAAGATTAGAATGCACATTGAACTCCAAAAACAATAGGAAGTAGGCTTTATAATGTGACTACAATTGACTACAGTTCATACATTGGTTCAATGGTTAGGGTATGGATTAGGTCAGGGTTAGATTATGGTTAGTGTAAGTGTTAAGGTTAGGGTTAGAATTGTTTAAAAGTTTCTTATAAACGTAGAATTAGTCAAACTCATCAACACTTTGTTATGCCCCTCGTAATATCCGTGACAATGTTAAAGATGTTTTTATTTCTCTTCATAACTTTGTGTCTGCATATTTTCTACATAAACAAACTGCTTTAATATTTATGACAGATATTATAATTCGTAGATCGAGGTAGAAGAACTGCTTGAAAATGAAACTTCCAACATTGAAACAAAATCAAGCATGGCAGAAGAGAAACAACGACGCCAGGTTGAAGATAGCTTGATGAAATTGAACGTAGTTGAAGCACCTAGCATACGCTCGAGAGTTTTGGATGAGGACTCGTCAACCACTGAAAACATGAATGAGTCCAAGCATGTTTACGACGATAAAGGCTCTTGCGAGGTAGGCTGTTGCGACATATCGAATTATCGATAAATATCGGGGGTTTTTTAAATATCGGTTTATCGATATTGGTTTTTTCGGTATATCGATATATCGATGTACCGAAAATATCGAAAAAATATGAAAATATTCGTTGTTACGATATATATATAGTTATTATACATAGTTTTCAATTGTGTTTTGTTGGTTTTAATAGCTTTATAGCGGTTTTTAAATGGTTCTGTATACAATGTATTAGACAGACAATCTTGACCCAATCACACGTGCGGGGTAATTGTCGGCTAAGGTTCAATTTGATCTATTTATGAATCATTGCGAACAACACTACAAAAAAACCCCCAAAATATCCGAAGATATATCGTCATATCTATATTTTTTTCGAAGCGGGATTTATCTAGCACAAAAGCGACGACACTTATCAATGGTGAAGGATTGTCCCTGTATGAAATATCTAAGTTATAAGATTCGGCTATGAAATGCACACTAAACGGCAAAATATGACGGAAAGTGGGTTTAGGAGGAAGGTGTGCGAAATATGTTCTATCGTATGCCAGCAAAAACAATGTAAATTTCTTGAAACAACGAAAATATAAAAATTCAATCTCTGCCACGAATATTTGTTAATTTGTGCAAAATTGCCATTTGACCATAGCTGGTGTATGGTAATTTCCTCAGTAAATATTAAACTCATGTAAATTTTTTCTCCCATGACCACCCCTAAAAGTGAACTTTCGAAACACCATAAACACTACAGAATTGTTTGAAGATTGTTTTGGTGTCTGCTTATGAGAGGTTGTAAATAAGTTAATAGTAAGAGTATTGGCAGGGACCTAATAGCAGTGTCTGCTTTCGGGAGGTGTCCGTTAGTAGTAAAGTTCTGACTGATTTTGCTTATAGTTTCGTCTATAAAGTTTCTATAGGGTAACTAGTTTTTATAAATGAGAACAAGTAGTTGCGTTCTGTTTTTTTGGCTTCTTCTGTGCTGCAGTGAGTGTTAATTCTGTTGAAAAGTGTTCGAATGTTGCTTATTTTGTGTTGTGTGGAATGATTACGGTTGAAATCAAGTATTTGGTCTGTAAGGGTATTTATGCCGTATAATTGTTTGTTTAGTCTTGTTGTGTTTTTTTTGTCTTTAGTGAAGGTTATCTTCTTTGTAGTATTTTTATGGTGTGTAGCATTTGTCCAGTTTTGGCTTTCTTGACTATGGCAAAGATATCGTCTTTATATCTATTCCATAGTCTGTCTGTTTCATCTGTGCTGTTGGTGACTGATTGTGTTTCGAGGTTTTGCACGACAGCTTTTGCGAGGAAGGTGTATAGTGGTGACCCCATTGATTCGCTGAAAGTTGTCTATAGTATGAGTTTTAGAAGAAGAATTCAGTGGAGAGGCAAAGGTTGAGTAAGTCTAGGATTTTATTTGTCTAGTTGTGTTGTTTGGCTATGTCTAATGGTATGGATGTGAAGAGTGATGTCACATTGTAATTAGATATCATGATTTTGTCTGGTCAATAGTTCATATGTATGTGATCCTGGAATTAAGAACAAGAATTGGAATGTAAGACCTTTAAGAAAGTTTTGAAAACATGGGAAAATACAATTCACCAATCAAGTGAGTTCAATAAGTGGGAAATAAACGCATGAACAATCTTTGAGATTTAGGTGCGTGAAATATAAGTTTTGGAATTTAAGTGCTTTAACTATAGTCTTTGGATGTTAGGTGCATGAACTATAGTCTTTGGGAGCTCTTTCATGAACTATAGTCCTTCGGAGTAAGGTGCATGAACTATAGTCTTTGGTAATTAGATACATTAACTATTTTCTTTGGTGTTAGTTGCATGAACTAAACTCTTTGGGAAATAGACGCATGATCTTATAGTCTTTGCGAGTTACGTGCGTGAAATATAGTCTTTGGGAGTTAGGTGTATGAACTATAGTCGTTCCGAGTTTAGGTGCATGAAGAAGAATTTTTGGGAGTTTAGTCTTTGAAGTTGGGTGTGTGAAAGATATTCTTTGAAAGTTAAGTTTGTGAACTATAGTCTTTGGGAGTTAGGTACATGAACTATATTGTTAAGATGCACGAACAATATACATATATATAGATTTTATAGCCTTTAGGTGCATGAACTAAAGTCTTTGTGAAATAGACACATTTAGCTATAGTCTTTGGGAGTTAGGTGCATGGAAAATTTAACTGTCTTTTCAGCATATGAAGTTACCCCCACGATGACACACACACACTATGATCAAACGAAACATTTTTCTTGCGAGCGCTTTATTAGCGATTAGAACCGATGGAACTCGATTACCATTTCATTTATTTCAACGGTGTCATGAGATCGTTTAAGTCGCATGAACTATAGTATTATAGAAATAGACGCATGAACAGTCATTGCGAGTTAGCAAAATTACTTTGTGCTCAGCAGTTCGAAGTAGGTGGCAAACTACTTTGAAACAACTTCACAATTTGCTAAAATTCTAATTCAAATTAGATAGCGGGGGGACAATCTAATTTCATAGAAAAAACCAATTGTAACTGAGCACGAATCTAATTAAACGACGACCTTTCCAATTATGAAAAGTAAATATACATGCGCGAAAGCGGAACGTATTCATAACGCTTCTTCTTGTTTATAGACCAATGTTTCCAGTTTGGTAAGAACTGATCTTAGTGACTCGTTAGTGACTCCTAGTGACTCCTCAGTACAACATTACGTAATTTTATTTCAGTTGACATATTCGTCGTGTTTTTTAAAGGCAACTTTTCAAACGAAGTTTGTGGAGTTGGGTCATCCTCCAGTTGGATGTTGCTCTCTAACTGTACCTAATTTATTTGGTCATTCACAGGTACACGTGACTTGTTTATATTAAACGGAGGCCTGGGCACTAGGTCATATTTTGCCATGTTATGTATTTGAGTTGTATCCACGCCTATTGATCACTTTATATAAACATTAAAATGTTTTCTTTTCTTGAACCTGAGAGGATGTGTTATGTTCTGAGGTGTTGAAAATTAACTGTGAGATTGAAAAGTAATTAAAACTACGAATAGCTTTATCTAAGTTCCCCAAAAGGCTTTACTCCTATCCCTACCCCCTACCCCCGCCTTAAAAAGTGTATCGTGAAACATAATTGTTGTTTTATAAAGAACCGAGATGCTTTAAAAAATTCATTTTGTCTTACGGTGAATTTCCTTTAAATCAGGCAATGTCTGTTATTCTATGCAACACGAAACTCGACTGCGACATGGCAAAGGAACGCGGAATTGTCGCAGAAATTTTATCTTTCAAACATTTCGAGGAGGAGCTCAATTCACTTTTGGCGAGATCTTCACTAGTTTCTAGACAGGTTTGTGTGTCTATTTTACGAGGAGAGAGATTGGGCACTATTGGAAAGGAGAGGAAGGGGGTGGACGGAGCTTAGCAACTAGAGAGAGGACACGGGACCTTTGAAAATGCAATAGATTTCTATTGTTATTCATGGACGTTCACGTCGAAGATGATGAAAACATTTACAGTTTCGAACTTTGAAAAATCCCATGTCAGCAAATAGTAAAGCAGCATATTTAATATTGTAGTGCCTTCGAGAAACAGACGTTGATGGTCAACGGTAATATACAAGAACTTGAGGATAAAAATCACGAGGAACGCGATTTGTTTCAAAAGTACATCAGCAACATGGCATCGTAAGAAGATGGTGGACGAGCTTACAGGAATGGCTTACCATCCAGGTATACTTGCGATCGGACTTATAGCGCGTGCAAATATTTGTTGTACATATAGGATATTGTGTCCCCCAATGATCCGTTTGTAACCTTTACGCAGCGGAATTTGTAGCGTTGTTGGTGTAAATCATTCGTAACTTGAGTTGAATAACAAAACATATTCGTTCATTTAACCACGATTTTTAAAATCTTTACTTTGGAGGAAAAAAATTGCGTTTTGAATCAAGTTCCAAAACATAGCAAAAAAACTTTTGCTGGAAAATTTCGAACACTCGTTCTGTATCGTTCAAGTCATTGAGACTTCAGTGTTTACTGCTGGCGTAACGGACTTCTTAGTCGCGATAACCTTATTTTCTTGCGCATTTGTTGAAAATTGATGCAGTTGTTTAAAAATAAGTGTCATTAATTAACATGTTGTCACGTGACATCAAGTAGATGTTTGCGCAGATGCTTTTGTACGCTTAACACTTTGGTGGAAATGGTTTTTATCAAACTGAATAACATACACAGAAAGAAAATGCATCGAACATTTCATAAACAAGAATCAACTTAATGTTTCAACTACATTTTTGATTTGCGTTGTAAAAGTCATCACTGCTTGCGCGCATTCCTCCGAGAGCCATTTTGAGCAAGCACTTCGCATTCTTTATTATTCACATCGTGAAGTTTCTCCAGCTCAACTGAGCAACATAATTTCTTGGACAATGAGAGCGACTGCAATGGAGAGAAGCATTGTATGGTTAAATGAAACGAAGCAATAACGGTAAAGTCCAGATTTGTGCTACCTTCGGCGGCAACGCAGCCATGTATTTCATTCTGTTGTTAATTTCTTTTTCAATTTCGGCTTGAGGAATAACTTCTGTTACCAAACCGTAGTTACAAGCTTCGACCGCAGTCAGTTTCTTTTCCAACGAGTAACATCTCATTCGCCTGAGTGCAAATTAATAAGAAATGTGTGACAATCATACCTTACCTCTTAACTGCATTAAGATAACAATACCTTGTTAAAAATTGAGTTAACTAAGCAAAAAAAACAGGGCTCAAAATAACGGCCAGGCAACGGACAATGATTTTCAAAAATACCTATGTATCGGTAACATTTTCAGTTTTCCCATAATAATTTATTATTCGGCTTTCCTTTCAATATGTTTTGCAATATTGAGCGTCAATTTTTACATACGTAAAACCATGCTTCTCTAGTAAGTATATGCTGGCTAGGGGCTTGTTGCATTGAAGGTTACGATTCCGTTCTCGTAAAGTGTGTCGTGGTCAGCTTTGGGTAATGAGGATTTCAATATTATAATGAGACCGTGCGTAGTGATGTCGGAAGCGCTTAGTTAAAAATGTTTTTTCATATTATCGACGAAAATTATGTATATTAATGTGACGATACAAAAACTGACTTTGACCAAGCCAAAATGAAATTGACCTTTCACGAAAACACTATAATTAATGCATTCCAACACATTTTCCACTTAAAAACAACTTTTAGAAAATGAGGATTCCACCCCTGAAAATGAATTTTATAATATTTCCATAATTTCACCAAAAGACTATAATTCATGTATTTGAACACATTTTCCACATCAAAAAGAACTTTGACAAAATAATCGAGTCCACCCCCCCTGAAAATGTGTTTTATAATATTTCCATACTTTCACCAAAAGACTATAATTCATGCATTTGAACACATTTTCCACAACAAAAAGAACTTTTATAGAAATAGATTCCACCCCCTGAAAATGAATTTAATCTTAGTTCCCATTATTTTACCAAAAGACTATAATTCATGCATTTGAACACATTTTCCACAACAAAAAGAACTTTTATAGAAATAGGGATTCCACCCCCCCTGAAAATGAATTTAATCTTAGTTCCATTATTTTACCAAAAGACTATAATTCATGCATTTGAACACATTTTCCACATCCAAAAGAACTTTTAGAAAAATCGAGTCATCCCCCCTTAAAAAAGAATTTTATCATATTTCCATATTTTCATCAAATGACTATAATTAATGCATTTCAACACATTTTCCACCTAAAGAACAACTTTTAAAAAAATATGGATTCCACCCCCCCTGAAAATGAATTTTATCATATTTACATATTTTCATCAAAAGACTATAATTCATGTATTTGAACACATTTTCCACATCAAAAAGAACTTTGACAAAAAATCGAGTCCACCACCCCTGAAAATGAATTTTATAATATTTCCATACTTTCACCAAAAGACTATAATTCATGCATTTGAACACATTTTCCACAACAAAAAGAACTTTTATAGAAATAAGGATTCCACCCCTGAAAATGAATTTAATCTTAGTTCCATTATTTTACCAAGACTATAATTCATGCATTTGTTCACCTGTGATAAATCACTCAAATCGTTCCATGCATTCCATTTTGCCTTTCCAACAAAGTCCAAAGTCCCAGGCTTTGGTGTATTACATTTGCCTAAAGAACCCTGGAAATGATTATTGTTATTTAGATTCGTCTTATTTTCAACTTTGATTGTATTGTATGGTGGGACTGTGAAAAGTTAGAATTGAAAAAAATTGACTGTGCCTTTGCAAATATGTGATTCAACTGCAATGATGCACATCGTGCACCAAAAATGTAAAGTCACCATTTAATTGAAGAGCTTGTAGGTAGGAGATACAACAACTAATGGTCAAGCTTTATGTAAAACCGGATACAATATCTTTATGATTCGTAAAATACCTGCTTAAAAGGGCGTACATCTTTAACTTCAATTCATTCCCTGGATCTTGAATTAAAGATCCTACTTTGTCTTTGCTTCTTTAAACTGGTCGGAGATTGCAGGGAACTTTCGAACCATCTTCGTAAAATGTTCAGGTTTAAATAAGGTCGAGATAGATAGTTCACTATACCACGACGAAAAATTGCATGTAATTTACAAACTCTTGGCGTCACGTTCATTTGCTATAATAAAATTTACAATAAATATTTTTTTATTATTGATTGAACTATGGACGAATAAGAAAATTCATATCTAGAAATGACATGAATGAAAGGCAAAAGTAAATAAAAATGTGACTATTTTTGACCAATGACATTAGGATGTTGATAGTGGTTACAATGGATGATAGTGGATAATTATAGACATGCTTTCAAAATGGCGTATGCTGAACAATTTTATTTTCAGTCAACTTGGAGCACACTTAATCATTTTATGGCAAGAATAGGTAAATGTTGGCTGAACTGTATAAAATAAGGCGTTCAAGGATGCAATTCGGAAGCGTAAAAAAAGACTTGAGGCATATGCAAGAGAACTATCTTCACGTAGCAGACTGACATTTGTGGTGAATTCACTGAATTGCTCTGGAAGCTAACAGTTATTGGTTGTTATTCTGGCTATGTGAAACCAATCTATCTGCATGAGTTCTATCATGATTTTAAACAGCAAATCGATGCGTTGCGTATGAGTTGTATCGACCAGCTTACTACACAGTCAACACTTCACCAATTTGGAATTTGAAACATTTTGGTGATAAGAATTTTATACCGACGTATCCCTGCGATAAAAAGACTCACAAGAAAAACTGTTTTGTTCAGAGTAAGGTAAAAATATTTTACTCTCTGATTGCCTAAATATTCTTTGAGTATTTAAAACTGGCTCATATAAGACCATACATGTATGTAGTTAATGGGATCTACATTTTAGCTAACGTGTGCAATATTTTTATAAGTGAAACGATGCACGGTAGTGAGGTAACTTAGTGATTAAATGTACTTGAAAGCCGAGGGAGATTTTGTAGTAAAAGTCACAAGACTTGTAGCACCGAGGGACTTTAGCTAACCTGCCAGGGCTTTCAAGTGCATTTGATTGCCAAAATGTTTTAGTCAGTGCTTCACACACTGTTTATAAATTTGGATCTGCAGCTATTATTACCTAAGTGAAGATCTATTGATTGTCATGCTTTATTTTATCTCCATGTTTTTTATATTTTCACCATCATAAGTTGAACATTTGAGTTACCTTGCATGAGTCGTTTTACTTAAAATATGTTCTTTAACAATTTTGGTTCATCATTGTTTTGTTTTCTTGTAATTGATTTTATTTAGTATTTGTTAATATTGCAACTAAAATATTAACTCGTTTCAGTCTCCGCTTGCTGAAATCAAGATGGCTTCTAACCTTGAACATTTCAAACATTACAACTCAATGGTTGAAACCAATGAACTATTTAATCAAGTTACATTTGTTTCATCGTGTGCAATTCCTCTTTATGGATATCAAAGATATAAACAGTTATTCAAGAATGAAATAAAATATAGAATGTTTTCATTTGTTGATTTGACATACAGATTGGTTTGTTTACCTCCCAAAAAAGGGAGGAAATTTGTTCACAGCGAACATAAATGCAGTCTTTACAATGTTTTTTTAGCTGTCTTGTCATAAATATCGAAAATGTTTAATGATTGATAATATTTTTAATTGTTTAACTAAATGAGTTTGTTTTATGCTTCATTAGAAACTGATGGAAGCTTTGAATAATTTTGGTCAAAAACGGCAGATAAATCCTGGGGATGGGGGATGAAGCTTTCTATGTTTACAGATGTATACCATTGTGAATTTATAATTTCATTGCTATCACAATTTATAGATTAATATAAAAATTTTTGATGCTATGAGATGGTCTCATCAATGTGCAACAATTGAACTGGATTTCCAACTTCCTGAGAGATTCAACCTCACGCTAGGTAAGTTTTGCCAGTAAGCTTTTCGTTGAATAACCTCACTACGGTCTTGATACTTAATTTATTCAACCAACAGTGACATCACAATAGCTCGATGAATAATACATCCTCTTATTATTCATCGAGCTATTGTAGGTTCAGTTGAAAAAATGATTGCTATTCTTGCTGAAAGCTTTGGTGGAAAATGGTGAGTGTTTTCTTGGCTCATGCCAGAGCTTAAAGCAAATGAAATGTCCTTAAATGTTAAATTAAAATGATACAAAGTTTCTTAATTGTTTGGAAATTTTTTATCATTTTTACTCTACTTTACTTTATTTCAAAATTTTGACGCACTGCATTTTCTGTTATTTTCTAGGATTTTATGGCTTTCTCCCCATCAAGTTGTAGTAATTCCTGTCAGTAGTAAATATGATGATTATGCCGAACCGGTAAATTTAATTTGGTAAGCCTTAGATCGAACTTGCACAGGCTAATGCAAACTCAGCTATGGACAAATTGTTGCTATTTTATGAATTGGAATTTTTTTGTCCTTTTTTTTTTTTTATTGACATTTTGGTCATGTTTAGATTCAAAAGAAGTTCCATGCAGCTGGTTATCGTGTTGATACAGACTTGGATCACGGATCAACACTAAATAAGAAAGTTCGCAATGCACAACTTTCACAGTACAACTTCGTTCTTGGTATGAATAAGTCTTTTAAATTATTTTTATTTACTGTACAAATAAATAGAAATTAAAATGGTTTGGAACCACTGTTGGTGTTCAGAGTTTACTGACGTTTCCACAACATTAGTCAGGTTCGCCGTATTTGTTCTCTAGACGTCATGACAGAGAGGAAAATATGTGGATGTTTTAGTTTGTGTGGTATACTTATTAATTGTTCGCTTGTAAGCCGTTTATAAGGTGCTGATATTTGTATTCTGTTCAATGATTTTTGTTTTGAGTTTGTTAACCTACTTTCTAACGTAAGTCGTTGTCTATAGTCAGTGCTGTTTGTAATGTTGTGCATTGTGATGCTCACTTGTCAGTACTCGTTGTTCTTGGTAGTCAGTTGATGTGCGAGTTGTAAAATGTAAGGTATTATCGTTTGCTGTTGTTGGATTGTTTGTTGTTTGTGTTTTTGTTTGTTTGTTTTGTGTTCATTGTCTTTTTAAGTGTTGTCTATTTTAAAAGCAAAATAGATGTTCATTTTATTACTAAATGCGATTGGTTAAATGGTTTTATGTTGTTTTTAAACAGTTGTTGGTGAAAAGAGACGGTCTCAGACACGGTCAACGTCAGAACACGTGACAACAAAGTACTCGGTGAAAAATCGGTCATGGCCGTGATCGAACGCTTGCGAGATTTAGTCATCTCACGAAGTCTGACAAGCGAAGATTTTTGAAGTAAAACAACATTTTTATGGTAAAGATAAAATGAATTTACTCACAAAAATAAATTTGAATGTAAATCCCATGATGCGTCGCAATTATAGAAAAATAGGTACGCGTACATGCCACTGGTCACTGGCAAGCTGGCGGCATTGGTCACTAATACTTTATCAGTGGTGGTAATATTGATTTTATCGTGGTGGTAAATTCTTCCATTGGTAATTTATGGCGATAACCATCAGCAACTTTTCAACTTTTTACCATCAAGTTTTCACTCAAACGAGATCGCTTCTCTTTCATATTTTGGCTTGTTTCTTGAGCTAGTAGGAGGCTGTGTGCGTTGATACAAGAAAAACTTTGTTGTGCAGAGGAAGGTAAAGATATTTTACTCGCAGAATTACTATATATTTATCAACAAAGTAGTTCATACTACAGCGATGAAAAATATAAAGCGTCGTATTTAACGCAAACCTTGGTTAAACCAGGGTTAGTTGACACATGTGCACTTGTATAATATGTCCAAATGGACATGTTTTGTGGAATTCCCTTCATTTGGTAAAATATTATCGCAGTGGGCCAAGATCGTCCCTCGTTTTGACAGTCATTTGCTATTCGTACTGGAGCTCTAGAATTTTACTGTTTTTAGTGGTAAGTGTGACCAATTCCTCATTCGTTTTCTTGTTATTGTGTGATGCTTAACATAGCAAAACAAAGAGTAGCTATATAAATGTAATTTTCCTGCCACACTTACAAACATTTCATATGTCAGCTGCAAGACCCGTAACAGACTGTGACAAATTTTTTGTTTGGTGAAAAAAAATTAACATATCTTGTCGAGTCTCCATTTGTGAATATCCATTTGAGAAATGCTTGCAAGAATATGGGCTACAAGATTACAAGAATAGAATGCGGATTTGAAACGAAAGATTAGAATGCACATTGAACTCCAAAAACAATAGGAAGTAGGCTTTATAATGTGACTACAATTGACTACAGTAGAATTAGTCAAACTCATCAACACTTTGTTATGCCCCTCGTAATATCCGTGACAATGTTAAAGATGTTTTTATTTCTCTTCATAACTTTGTGTCTGCATATTTTCTACATAAACAAACTGCTTTAATATTTATGACAGATATTATAATTCGTAGATCGAGGTAGAAGAACTGCTTGAAAATGAAACTTCCAACATTGAAAGAAAATCAAGCATGGCAGAAGAGAAACAACGACGCCAGGTTGAAGATAGCTTGATGAAATTGAACGTAGTTGAAGCACCTAGCATACGCTCGAGAGTTTTGGATGAGGACTCGCCAACCACTGAAAACATGAATGAGTCCAAGCATGTTTACGACGATAAAGGCTCTTGCGAGGTAGGCTGTTGCGACATATCGAATTATCGATAAATATCGGGGTTTTTTTAAATATCGGTTTATCGATATTGGTTTTTTTTCGGTATATCGATATATCGATGTACCGAAAATATCGAAAAAATATGAAAATATTCGTTGTTACGATATATATATAGTTATTATACATAGTTTTTAATTGTGTTTTGTTGGTTTTAATAGCTTTATAGTGGTTTTTAAATGGTTCTGTATACAATGTATTAGACAGACAATCTTGACCCAATCACACGTGCGGGGTAATTGTCGGCTAAGGTTCAATTTGATCTATGTATGAATCATTGCGAACAACACTACAAAAAAAAACCCAAAATATCCGAAAATATATCGTCATATCTATATTTTTTTTGAAGCGGGATTTATCGAGCACAAAAGCGACGACACTTATCAATGGTGAAGGATTGTCCCTGTATGAAATATCTAAGTTATAAGATTCGGCTATGAAATGCACACTAAACGGCAAAATATGGCGGAAAGTGGGTTTAGGAGGAAGGTATGCGAAATATGTTCTATCGTATGTCAGCAAAAACAATGTAAATTTCTTGAAACAACGAAAATATAAAAATTCAATCTCTGCCACGAATATTTGTTAATTTGTGCAAAATTGCCATTTGACCATAGCTGGTGTATGGTAATTTCCTCAGTAAATATTAAACTCATGTAAATTTTTTCTCCCATGACCACCTCTAAAAGTGAACTTTCGAAACACCATAAACACTACAGAATTGTTTGAAGATTGTTTTGGTGTCTGCTTATGAGAGGTTGTAAATAAGTTAATAGTAAGAGTATTGGCAGGGACCTAATAGCAGTGTCTGCTTTCGGGAGGTGTCCGTTAGTAGTAAAGTTCTGACTGATTTTGCTTATAGTTTCGTCTATAAAGTTTCTATAGGGTAACTAGTTTTTATAAATGAGAACAAGTAGTTGCGTTCTGTTTTTTGGCTTCTTCTGTGCTGCAGTGAGTGTTAATTCTGTTGAAAAGTGTTCGAATGTTGCTTATTTTGTGTTGTGTGGAATGATTACGGTTGAAATCAAGTATTTGGTCTGTAAGGGTATTTATGCCGTATACTTGTTTGTTTAGTCTTGTTGTGTTTTTTGTCTTTAGTGAAGGTTATCTTCTTTGTAGTATTTTTATGGTGTGTAGCATTTGTCCAGTTTTGGCTTTCTTGACTATGGCAAAGATATCGTCTTTATATCTATTCCATAGTCTGTCTGTTTCATCTGTGCTGTTGGTGACTGATTGTGTTTCGAGGTTTTGCACGACAGCTTTTGCGAGGAAGGTGTATAGTGGTGACCCCATTGATTCGCTGAAAGTTGTCTATAGTATGAGTTTTAGAAGAAGAATTCAGTGGAGAGGCAAAGGTTGAGTAAGTCTAGGATTTTATTTGTCTAGTTGTGTTGTTTGGCTATGTCTAATGGTATGGATGTGAAGAGTGATGTCACATTGTAATTAGATATCATGATTTTGTCTGGTCAATAGTTCATATGTATGTGATCCTGGAATTAAGAACAAGAATTGGAATGTACGACCTTTAAGAAAGTTTTGAAAACATGGGAAAATACAATTCACCAATCAAGTGAGTTCAATAAGTGGGAAATAAACGCATGAACAATCTTTGAGATTTAGGTGCGTGAAATATAAGTTTTGGAATTTAAGTGCTTTAACTATAGTCTTTGGATGTTAGGTGCATGAACTATAGTCTTTGGGAGCTCTTTCATGAACTATAGTCCTTCGGAGTAAGGTGCATGAACTATAGTCTTTGGTAATTAGATACATTAACTATTTTCTTTGGTGTTAGTTGCATGAACTAAACTCTTTGGGAAATAGACGCATGATCTTATAGTCTTTGCGAGTTACGTGCGTGAAATATAGTCTTTGGGAGTTAGGTGTATGAACTATAGTCGTTCCGAGTTTAGGTGCATGAAGAAGAATTTTGGGAGTTTAGTCTTTGAAGTTGGGTGTGTGAAAGATATTCTTTGAAAGTTAAGTTTGTGAACTATAGTCTTTGGGAGTTAGGTACATGAACTATATTGTTAAGATGCACGAACAATATACATATATATAGATTTTATAGCCTTTAGGTGCATGAACTAAAGTCTTTGTGAAATAGACACATTTAGCTATAGTCTTTGGGAGTTAGGTGCATGGAAAATTTAACTGTCTTTTCAGCATATGAAGTTACCCCACGATGACACACACACTATGATCAAACGAAACATTTTTCTTGCGAGCGCTTTATTAGCGATTAGAACCGATGGAACTCGATTACCATTTCATTTATTTCAACGGTGTCATGAGATCGTTTAAGTCGCATGAACTATAGTATTATAGAAATAGACGCATGAACAGTCATTGCGAGTTAGCAAAATTACTTTGTGCTCAGCAGTTCGAAGTAGGTGGCAAACTACTTTGAAACAACTTCACAATTTGCTAAAATTCTAATTCAAATTAGATAGCGGGGGGGACAATCTAATTTCATAGAAAAAACCAATTGTAACTGAGCACGAATCTAATTAAACGACGACCTTTCCAATTATGAAAAGTAAATATACATGCGCGAAAGCGGAACGTATTCATAACGCTTCTTCTTGTTTATAGACCAATGTTTCCAGTTTGGTAAGAACTGATCTTAGTGACTCGTTAGTGACTCCTAGTGACTCCTCAGTACAACATTACGTAATTTTTATTTCAGTTGACATATTCGTCGTGTTTTTTTAAAGGCAACTTTTCAAACGAAGTTTGTGGAGTTGGGTCATCCTCCAGTTGGATGTTGCTCTCTAACTGTACCTAATTTATTTGGTCATTCACAGGTACACGTGACTTGTTTATATTAAACGGAGGCCTGGGCACAAGGTCATATTTTGAATCGTTAGGTATTTGAGTTGTATCCACGCCTATTGATCACTTTATATAAACATTAAAATGTTTTCTTTTCTTGAACCTGAGAGGATGTGTTATGTTCTGAGGTGTTGAAAATTAACTGTGAGATTGAAAAGTAATTAAAACTACGAATAGCTTTATCTAAGTTCCCCAAAATGCTTTACTCCCTATCCCTACCCCCTACCCCCTTAAAAAGTGTATCGTGAAACATAATTGTTGTTTTATAAAGAACCGAGATGCTTTAAAAAATTCATTTTGTCTTACGGTGAATTTCCTTTAAATCGGGTAATGTCTGTTATTCTATGCAACACGAAACTCGACTGCGACATGGCAAAGGAAACGCGGAATTATTGCAGAACTTTTATCTTTCAAACATTTCGAGAAGGAACTCAATTCACTTTTGGCGAGATTTTCACTAGTTTCTAGACAGGTTTGTGTGTCTATTTTACGAGGGAGATGGATTGAGCACTATTAGAAAGCAGAAGGAGAGGGAGGGTGGGCGAAGCTTAGCAACTAGAGGAGAGGGACACGGGACCTTTGAAAATGCAATAAATTTCTATTGTTATTCATGGACGTTCACGTCGTAGATGATGAAAACATTTACAGTTTTGAACTTTTAAAAAATCCATGTCAGCAAATAGTAAAGCAGCATATTTAATATTGTAGTGCCTTCGAGAAACAGACGTTGATGGTCAACAGTAATATACAAGAACTTGAGGATAAAAATCACGAGGAATGCGATTTGTTTCAAAAGTACATCAGCAACGATGATATTTTGGATGGCATCGTAAGAAGATGGTGGACGAGCTTACAGGAATGATTTACCATCAAGGTATATTTACGATCAGACTTATGGCGCGTGCAAATATTTATTGTACAAATAGGATATTGTGTCCCCAATGATCCGTTTGTAACCTTTACGCAGCGGAATTTGTAGCGTTGTTGGTGTAAATCATTCGTAACTTGAGTTGAATAACAAAACATACTCGTTCATTGAAGCACGATTTTTAAAATCTTTACTTTTGAGGAAAAAAATTGCGTTTTGAATCAAGTTCCAAAACATAGTAAAAAATTTTTTGCTGGAAAATTTCGAACACTCGTTCTGTATCGTTCAAGTCATTGAGACTTCAGTGTTTACTGCTGGCGTAACGGACTTCTTAGTCGCAACAACCTTCTTTCGTGCGCATTTGTTGAAAAATGATGCAGTTGTTAAAAAATAATTGCCATTAATTAACATGTTGTCACGTGACATCAAGTAGATGTTTGCGCAGATGCTTTTGTACGCTTAACACTTTGGTGAAAATGGTTTTTATCAAACTGAATAACATACTTGCGCGCATTCCTTCAGACCCATCTTTGAGCAATCAGTTCGCATTCTATATTACTCTCATCGTGAAGTTTCTCCAGCTCAGCTGAGCGACATAATTTCTTCGACATTGAGAGCGACTGCAATGGAGAGAAGCATTGTATGGTTAAATGAAACGAAACAATAACTTTAAAGTCCAGATTTGTGCTACCTTCGGCGGCAACGCAGCCATGTATTTCATTCTGTTGTTAATTTCTTTTTCAAACTCGGCTTGAGGAATTACTTCTGTTATCAAACCGTAGTTACACGCTTCGACCGCAGTCAGTTTTTTTCCAACGAGTAACATCTCATTCGCCTGAGTGCAAACTAATACGAAATGTGTGAAAACCATACCTTAACTCTTAACTGCATTAAGATAATGATACCTTGTTAATAATTGAGTTAATTAAACAAAAGAACAGGGCTCAAAATAACGGTCAGGCAACGGACAATGATTTTCAAAAATACCTATGTATCGGTAACATTTTCAGTTTTCCCATAATAATTTATTATTCGGCTTTCCTTTCAATATGTTTTGCAATATTGAGCGTCAATTTTACATACGTAAAACCATGCTTTCTCTAGTAAGTATATGCTGGCTAGGGGCTTGTTGCATTGAAGGTTACGATTCCGTTCTCGTAAAGTGTGTCGTGGTCAGCTTTGGGTAATGAGGATTTCAATATTATAATGAGACCGTGCGTAGTGATGTCGGAAGCGCTTAGTTAAAATGTTTTTCATATTATCGACGAAAATTATGTATATTAATGTGACAATAAAAACTGACTTTGACCAAGCCAAAATGAAATTGACGTTTCGTCTTGAACGAAAGCATTAGAACACATTTTCCACATCAAAAGAACTTCTTACAAAATTTCACTCCACCCCTGAAAATCAATTCATCATATTCCATTATTTCACCAAGACTATAATTCTTGCTTTTGAACACATTTTCAACTTTAAAACAACTTTTACAAAGTAGGTATTCCACCCCTGAAAATTAATTTTATCATATTTACATATTTTCATCAAAAGGCTATAATTTATGCATTTGAACACATTTTCACGTCAAAAAGAACTTGACAAAAAAATCGAGTCCACCCCCCTGAAAATTAATTTTGTAATATTTTCGTATTTTCGTCAAAAGACTATAATTCATGCATTTGTACACATTTTCCAATTAAAAACAACTTTTACTAAAAGGGATTCCACCCTTGAAAATGAATTTAATCTTATTTCCATTATTTCATCAAAAAATTATAATTCATGCATTTGAACACATTTTCCACATTAAAAAGAACTTTTAAAAAAATCATGTCCACCCCCCGGAAAATGAATTTTATAAAATTTCCATATTTTTTCACCAAAAGACTATAATTCATGCATTTGAACACATTTTCCACCACAAACACAATTTTACGAAAGTAGGGATTCCAACCCCGTGAAAATGAATTTTATCACATTTCCATATTTTTATCAAAAGACTATAATTAATGCATTTGAACACATTTTGCACATAGAAAAACTTTTATAAAAATAGGGATTCCTCCCCTCTTAAAAATGAATTTAGTCTTATTTCTATTATTTCATCAAAATGTTATAATTCAAGCATTTAAACACATTTACCACTTTAAAACAACTTTTACGAAAGTAGGATTCCAATCCCTGAAAATGAATGTTATCATATTTCCACATTTTCACCAAAAGACTAATTCATGCATTTCAACACATTTTCCTTAAAAACAACTTTTACAAAAGTAGGGATTCCAACCCCTGAAAATGAATTTTATCATATTTCCATATTTTTATCAAAGACTATAATTAATGCATTTGAACACATTTTGCACAATAGAAAAAACTTTTATAAAAATAGGGATTCCTCCCCTCTTGAAAATGAATTTAGTCTTATTTCCATTATTTTATCAAAATGTTATAATTCAAGCATTTAAACCCAATTTCCACATAAAACCAACTTTTACGAAAGTAGGATTCCAATCCCTGAAAATGAATGTTATCATATTTCCATATTTTCACCAAAGACTAATTCATGCATTTGAACATATTTTCCACTTAAAAACAACTATTACAAAAATTAAGTCCACCCTTCCAGAATATAAGTTTTATAATATTTTCATATTTTCACTATAAAGCTATAATTAATGCATTTCAACACATTTTCCACTTAAAAAACAACTTTAACAAAAATAGGGATTCCACCTCATCCTGAAAATTAATTTTATCATATTTCCATATTTTAATCAAAAGACTATAGTTCATGCATTTGAACACATTTTCCACATCAAAAAGAACTTTTACAAATAATAGAGTCCCCCCTAAAAATGAATTTTATCATATTTACATATTTTCATTAAAAGATTATAATTAATGCATTTCAACAATTTTCCACTTAAAAAACAACTTTTACAAAAATAGGGATTCCACCTCATCCTGAAATTAATTTTATCATGTTTCTATTATTTCCATTATTTCCATCATCAAAATATTATAATTGAAGCATTTGAACACATTTTCCACTTTAAAACAACTTTTACGAAAGTAGGGATTCCACCTCATCCTAAAAATTAATTTTATCATATTTCCATTATTTTCATTATTTCCATCATCAAAATATTATAATTCAAGAATTTGAACACATTTTCCACTTTAAAACAACTTTACGAAAGTAGGGATTCCACCTCATCCTGAAAATTAATTTTATCATATTTCCATATTTTCATCAAAGAACAAAATTTATGCATTTGAACACATTTTCCACATCAAAACAACTTTTACAAATAATAGAGTCCCCCTAAAATGAATTTTATCATATTTACATATTTTCATTATTTCCATCATCAAAATATTATAATTCAAGATTTAACACATTTTCCACTTTAAAACAACTTTTACGAAAGTAAAGATTCCACCCTTTGAAAATGAATTTAATCTTATTTCCATTATTTCATCAAAAGACCATAATTCATGCATTTGAACACATTTTCCACTTAAAAAACAACTTTTACAAAAACAAGGATTCCAACCATTCTGAAAATGAATTTTATCATATTTCAGTATTTTAATCAAAAGACTATAGTTCATGCATTTGAACACATTTTCCACATCAAAAAGAACTTTTACAAATAATAGAGTCCCACCCTAAAAATGAATTTTATCATATTTCATATTTTCATTAAAAGATTATAATTAATGCATTTCAACAATTTTCCACTTAAAAAACAACTTTTACAAAAATAGGGATTCCACCTCATCCTGAAAATTAATTTCATCATGTTTCTATTATTTCCATTATTTCCATCATCAAAATATTATAATTCAAGAATTTGAACACATTTTCCACTTTAAAACAACTTTTACGAAAGTAAGGATTCCACCGCTTTGAAAATGAATTTAATCTTATTTCCATTATTTCATCAAAGACCATAGTTCATGCATTTGAACACATTTTCCACATCAAAAGAACTTTTACAAATAATAGAGTCCCCACCTAAAAATGAATTTTATCATATTTACATATTTTCATTATTTCCATCATCAAAATATTATAATTCAAGAATTTGAACACATTTTCCACTTTAAACAACTTTCTTGAAAGTAAGGATTCCACTGCTTTGAAAATGAATTTAATCTTATTTCCATTATTTCATCAAAAGACCATAATTCATGCCTTTGAACACATTTTCCACATTTAAAGAACTTTTACAAAAAGGAGTCAACTCCCCTTGAAATTTAATTTTATCATATTTCCATATTTTCAAAAGACTATAATTAATGCATTTCAACACATTTTCCTCTCAAAAAGAACTTTTACAAAAATTAAGTCCCCCCTCCTGAATATAAGTTTTTAATGTTTTCATATTTTCACTATAAATTTATATTTAATGCATTTAAACACATTTTCCACTTAAAAAACAACTTTTACAAAACAGGATTCCAACCATTCTGAAAATGAATTTTATCATATTTCCATATTTTAATCAAATGACTATAATTCATGCATTTGAACACATTTTCCACATCAAAAAGAACTTTTAAAAATAATAGAGTCCCCCCCTGAAAATGAATTTTATAATATTTCCATATTTTAATTAAAGATTATAATTAATGCATTTGAACAATTTTCCAATTAAAACAATTTTACAAAAATAGGGATTCCACCTCATCCTGAAAATCAATTTTATCATATTACATTATTTCCATTATTTCCATCATCAAAATATTATAATTAATGATTTGAACACATTTTCCATTTAAAACAACTTTTACAAAACAGGGATTCCAACCATTCTAAAATGAATTTATCAATTTTCATATTTTTATCAAAGACTATAATTCTTCATGCATTTGACACATTTTGCACAATAAAAAACTTTTATAAAAGGGATTCCTCCCCTTTGTTTGTTGTTTTTTGAGAGGAAAATGTGTTGAAATGCATTAATTATAGTTTTATAGTGAAAATATGAAAACATTATAAAACTTATATTCAGGAGGGGGGTGGACTTAATTTTTGTAAAAGTTGTTTTTATGGAAAATGTGTTCAAATGCATGAATAAGTCTTTGGTGAAAATATGGAAATATTTTCAGGGATTGGAATCCTACTTTCGTAAAAGTTGTTTTAAAGTGGAAAATGTGTTTAAATGCTTGAATTATAACATTTTGATAAAATAATGGAAATAAGACTAAATTCATTTTCAAGAGGGGAGGAATCCCTATTTTTATAAAAGTTTTTTCTATTGTGAAAATGTGTTCAAATGCATTAATTATAGTCTTTGATAAAAATATGGAAATATGATAAAAATTTTCTGGGTTGAATCCCTACTTTCGTAAAAGTTGTTTTTTAAGTGGAAATTGTGTTGAAATGCATTAATTATAGTTTTATAGTGAAAATATGAAAATATTATAAAACTTATATTCAGGAGGCGGGTGGACTTAACTTTTTGTAAAAGTTGTTTTTTAAGTGGAAAATGTGTTCAAATGCATGAATTATAATAATTTGATGATGAAAATAATGAAAATAATGGAAATATGATAAAATTAATTTTTAGGATGAGGTGGAATCCCTACTTTCGTAAAAGTTGTTTTAAAGTGGAAAATGTGTTTAAATGCTTCAATTATAATATTTTGATGATGGAAATAATGGAAATAATAGAAACATGATAAAATTAATTTTCAGGATGAGATGGAATCCCTATTTTTGTAAAAGTTGTTTTTTAAGCTGAAAATTGTTGAAATGCATTAATTATAATCTTTTAATGAAAATATGGAAATATGATAAAATTCATTTTCAGGGGGGACTCTATTATTTGTAAAAGTTCTTTTTGATGTGGAAAATGTGTTGAAATGCATGAACTATGGTCTTTTGATGAAATAATGGAAATAAGATTAAATTCATTTTCAAAGCGGTGGAATCCTTACTTTCGTAAAAGTTGTTTTAAAGTGGAAAATGTGTTCAAATTCTTGAATTATAATATTTTGATGATGGAAATAATGGAAATAATAGAAACATGATGAAATTAATTTTCAGGATGAGGTGGAATCTATTTTGTAAAAGTTGTTTTTAAGTGGAAAATTGTTGAAATGCATTAATTATAATCTTTTAATGAAAATATGTAAATATGATAAAATTCATTTTAGGTGGGACTCTATTATTTGTAAAAGTTCTTTTGATGTGGAAAATGTGTTCAAATGCATGAATTATAGTCTTTGATTAAAATATGAAATATGATAAAATTCATTTTCAGAATGGTTGGAATCCTTGTTTTTGTAAGAGTTGTTTTTTAAGTGGAAAATGTGTTCAAATGCATGAATTATGGTCTTTTGATGAAATAATGGAAATAAGATTAAATTCATTTTCAAAGTGGTGGAATCCTTACTTTCGTAAAAGTTGTTTTAAAGTGGAAAATGTGTTAAATTCTTGAATTATAATATTTTGATGATGGAAATAATGAAAATAATGGAAATATGGTAAAATTAATTTTTAGGATGAGGTGGAAACCCTACTTTCGTAAAAGTTGTTTTAAAGTGGAAAATGTGTTCAATTGCTTCAATTATAATAATTTGATGATGGAATTAATGGAAATAATAGAAACATTAATTTTCAGGATCAGGTGGAATCCCTATTTTTGTAAAAGTTTTTTAAGTGGAAAATTGTTAAAATTCATTAATTATAATCTTTTAATGAAAATATGTAAATGTGATAAAATTCATTTTCACAGGGTTGGAATCCTTACTTTCGTAAAAGTTGTTTTAAAGTGGAAAATGTGTTCAAATTCTTGAATTATAATATTTTGATGATGGAAATAATGGAAATAATAGAAACATGATAAAATTAATTTTCAGGATGAGGTGGAATCCCTATTTTTGTAAAAGTTGTTTTTTAAGTGGAAAATTGTTGAAATGCATTAATTATAATCTTTTAATGAAAATATGTAAATATGATAAAATTCATTTTTAGGGGGGGGACTCTATTATTTGTAAAAGTTCTTTTTGATGTGGAAAATGTGTTCAAATGCATGAATTTTGGTCTTTTGATGAAAATATGGAAATATGATAAAATTAATTTTCAGGATGAGGTGGAATCCCTACTTTCGTAAAAGTTGTTTTAAAGTGGAAAATGTGTTCAAATGCTTTAATTATAATATTTTGATGATGAATGGTTTGAATCCTTGTTTTGTAAAAGTTGTTTTAAGTGGAAAATGTGTTGAAATGCATTAATTATAGTTTTATAGTGAAAATATGAAAATATTATAAAACTTATATTCAGGAGGGGGGTGGAATTAACTTTTTGTAAAAGTTGTTTTTTAACTGTAAAATGTGTTCAAATGCATCAATTTTGGTCTTTTGATGAAATAATGGAAATAAGATTAAATTCATTTTCAAAGCGGTGGAATTCTTACTTTCGTAAAAGTTGTTTTAAAGTGGAAAATGTGTTATAATTCTTGAATTATAATATTTTGATGATGGAAATAATGAAAATAATAGAAACATGATAAAATTAATTTTCAGGATGAGGTGGAATCCCTATTTTTGTAAAAGTTGTTTTTTAAGTGGAAAATTGTTGAAATGCATTAATTATAATCTTTTAATGAAAATATGTAAATATGATAAAATTCATTTTAGGGGGGACTCTTTTATTTGTAAAAGTTCTTTTTGATGTGGAAAATGTGTTCAAATGCATGAATTTTGGTCTTTTGATGAAATAATGGAAATAAGATTAAATTCATTTTCAAAGCGGTGGAATCCTTACTTTCGTAAAAGTTGTTTTAAAGTGGAAAATGTGTTCAAATTCTTGAATTATAATATTTTGATGATGGAAATAATGGAAATAATAGAAACATGATAAAATTAATTTTCAGGATGAGGTGGAATCCTATTTTTTGTAAAAGTTGTTTTAAGTGGAAAATTGTTGAAATGCATTAATTATAATCTTTTAATGAAAATATGTAAATATGATAAAATTCATTTTTGGGGGACTCTATTATTTGTAAAAGTTCTTTTTGATGTGGAAAATGTGTTCAAATGCATGAACTATAGTCTTTTGATTAAAATATGGAAATATGATAAAATTCATTTTCAGAATGGTTGGAATCTTTGTTTTTCTAAAAGTTGTTTTTTAAGTGGAAAATGTGTTGAAATGCATTAATTATAGTTTTATATTGTAAATATGAAAATATTATAAAACTTATATTCAGGAGGGGGGTGGACTTAACTTTTTGTAAAAGTTGTTTTTTAACTGGAAAATGTGTTCAAATGCATGAATTATGGTGAAAATATGGAAATATGATAAAATTAATTTTCAGGGGGGGACTGTATTATTTGTAAAAGTTCTTTTTGATGAGGAAAATGTGTTCCAATGCGTGAATTATGGTCTTTTGATGAAATAATGGAAATAAGATTAAATTCATTTTCAAAGCTGTGGAATCCTTACTTTCATAAAAGTTGTTTTAAAGTGGAAAATGTGTTGAAATGCATTAATTATAGTTTTATAGTGAAAATATGAAAATATTATAAAACTTATATTCAGGAGGGGGAGTGGAAAAATTTTTTGTAAAAGTTGTTTTTTACGTGGAAAATGTGTTCAAATGCATGAATAAGCCTTTTGGTGAAAATATGGAAATATGATAGCATTGTTTTAAAGTGGAAAATGTGTTTAAATGCTTGAATTATAACATTTTGATAATATAATGGAAATAAGACTAAATTCATTTTCAAGAGGGGAGGAATCCATATTTTTATAAAGGTTCTTTTTATTGTGAAAAATGTGTTCAAATGCATGAAGAATTATAGTCTTTTGATTAAAATATGGAAATATGGTAAAATTTATTTTCAGAATAGTTGGAATCTTTGTTTTTCTAAAAGTTGTTTTTTAAGTGGAAAATGTGTTGAAATGCATTAATTATAGTTTTATAGTGTAAATATGAAAATATTATAAGACTCATATTCAGGAGGGTGGACTTAACTTTTGTAAAAGTTGTTTTTAAGTGGAAAATGTGTTCAAATGCATGAATTATGGATGAAATAATGGAAATAAGATTAAATTCATTTTCAAAGCGGTGGAATCCTTACTTTCGTAAAAGTTGTTTTAAAGTGGAAAATGTGTTCAAATGCTTGAATTATAATATTTTGATGATGGAAATAATGAAAATAATGGAAATATGATAAAATTAATTTTTAGGATGAGGTGGAATCCCTACTTTCGTAAAAGTTGTTTTAAAGTGGAAAATGTGTTCAAATGCAATTATAATATTTTGATGATGGAAATAATGGAAATAATAGAAACATGATAAAATTAATTTCAGGATGAGGTGGAATCCCTATTTTTGTAAAAGTTGTTTTTTAAGTGTAAAATTGTTGCAATGCATTAATTATAATCTTTTAATGAAAATATGGAAATATGATAAAATTCATTTTCAGTGGGGGACTCTATTATTTGTAAAAGTTCTTTTTGATGTGGAAAATGTGTTCCAATGCATGAATTATAGTCTTTTGATTAAAAATATGGAAATATGATAAAATTCATTTTCAGAATAGTTGGAATCTTTGTTTTGTAAAAGTTGTTTTTAAGTGGAAAATGTGTTGAAATGCATTAATTATAGTTTTATAGTGAAAATATGAAAATATTATAAAATTCATATTCAGGAGGGTGGACTTAACTTTTGTAAAAGTTGTTTTTAAGTGGAAAATGTGTTCAAATGCATGAATTATAGTCTTTTGATGAAATAATGGAAATATGATTAAATTCATTTTCAAAGGGTGGAATCCTTACTTTCGTAAAAGTTGTTTTAAAGTGGAAAATGTGTTCAAATGATTGAATTATAATATTTTCATGATGGAAATAATGGAAATAATGGAAATGATAAAATTAATTTTCAGGATGAGGTGGAATCCCTACTTTCGTAAAAGTTGTTTTAAAGTGGAAAATGTGTTCAAATGCTTGAATTATAATATTTTGATGATGGAAATAATGAAAATAATAGAAAATGAAAATTAATTTCAGGATGAGGTGGAATCCTATTTTTGTAAAAGTTGTTTTAAGTGGAAAATGTGTTGAAATGCATTAATTATAGTCTTTTAATGAAAATATAAATATGATAAAATTCATTTTAGGGGACTCTATTATTTGTAAAAGTTCTTTTGATGTGGAAAATGTGTTCAAATGCATGAATTATGGTCTTTGATGAAATAATGGAAATAAGATTAAATTCATTTTCAAAGCGGTGGAATCCTTACTTTCGTAAAAGTTGTTTTAAAGTGGAAAATGTGTTCAAATGCTTGAATTATAGCATTTTGATGATGGAAATAATAAAAATAATGGAAATATGATAAAATTAATTTTAGGATGAGGTGGAATCCCTACTTTCGTAAAAGTTGTTTTAAGTGGAAAATGTGTTTAAATGCTTGAATTATAACATTTTGATAAAATAATGGAAATATGATAAAATTCATTTTCAGAATGGTTGGAATCCCTGTTTTTGTAAAAGTTGTTTTTTAAATGGAAAATGTGTTGAAATGCATTAATTATAGTTTTATAGTGAAAATATGAAAATATTATAAAACTTATATTCAGGAGGGGGGGTGGACTTAATTTTTTGTTAAAGTTGTTTTTTAAGTGGAAAATGTGTTCAAATGCATGAATTATGGTCTTTTGATGAAATAATGGAAATAAGATTAAATTCATTTTCAAAGCGGTGGAATCCTTACTTTCGTAAAAGTTGTTTCAAAGTGGAAAATGTGTTCAAATGCTTGAATTATAGCATTTTGATGATGGAAATAATAAAAAAAATAATGGAAATATGATAAAATTAATTTTTAGGATGAGGTGGAATCCCTACTTTCGTAAAAGTTGTTTTTAAGTGGAAAATGTGTTTAAATGCTTGAATTATAACATTTTGATAAAATAATGGAAATATGATAAAATTCATTTTCAGAATGGTTGGAATCCCTGTTTTTGTAAAAGTTGTTTTTTAAATGGAAAATGTGTTGAAATGCATTAATTATAGTTTTATAGTGAAAATATGAAAATATTATAAAACTTATATTCAGGAGGGGGGGTGGACTTAATTTTTTGTTAAAGTTGTTTTTTAAGTGGAAAATGTGTTCAAATGCATGAATTATGGTCTTTTGATGAAAATATGGAAATATGATAAAATTAATTTTCAGGATGAGGTGGAATCCCTACTAATGTAAAAGTTGTTTTAAAGTGGAAAATGTGTTCAAATGCTTGAATTATAATATTTTGATGATGTAAATAATGGAAATATTGGAAATATGATAAAATTAATTTTAAGGATGAGGTGGAATCCCTATTTTTTAAAAGTTGTTGTTTGTAAAAGGTGGAAAATGTGTTGAAATGCATTAATAATAGTTTTATAGTGAAAATACGAAAATATATAAAACTTATAATCATAAGGGGGGTGGACTTAATTTTTTGTAAAAGTTCTTTTTGAGAGGAAAATGTGTTGAAATGCATTAATTAAAGTCTTTTGGTGAAAATATGAAAATATGATAAAATATGAGTATGTTTTGTTATTCAACTCAAGTTACGAATGATTTACACCAAGAACGCTACAAATTCAGCTGCGTAAAGGTTACAAACGGATCATTGGGGACACAATATCCTATTTGTACAATAAATATTTGCACGCGCAATAAGTCTGATCGTAAATATACCTTGATGGTATATCATTCCTGTAAGCTCGTCCACCATCTTCTTACGATGCCATCCAAAATATCATCGTTGCTGATGTACTTTTGAAACAAATCGCATTCCTCGTGATTTTTATCCACAAGTTCTTGTATATTACTGATGACCATCAACGTCTGTTTCTCGAAGGCACTACAATATTAAATATGCTGCTTTACTATTTGCTGACATGGATTTTTTAAGAGTTCAAAACTGTGAATGTATGTTTTTATCATCTGCGACGTGAACGTCCATGAATAACAATAGAAATTTATTGCATTTTCAAAGGTCCCGTGTCTCCTCTCCCTCTAGTTGCTGAGCTTCGCCCACCCCTCCCTCTCCTTCTGCTTTCTAATAGTGCTCAATCCTCTCCTCGTAAAATAGACAGACAAACCTGTCTAGAAACTAGTGAAAATCTCGCCAAAAGTGAATTGAGTTCCTTCACTAAATGTTTGAAAGATAAAAGTTCTGCAATAATTCCGCGTTTCCTTTGCCATGTCGCAGTCGAGTTTCGTGTTGCATAGAATAACAGACATTGCCCGATTTAAAGGAAATTCACCGTAAGACAAAATGAATTTTTTTTAAAGCATCTCGGTTCTTTTATAAAAACAACAATTATGTTTCACGATACACTTTATATGAAGCGAGGGGGGGGTAGGGATAGGGAGTAAAGCATTTTGTGGGAACTTAGATAAAGCTATTTATAGTTTTAATTACTTTTTAATCTCACAGTTAATATTTAACACATCAGAACATAACACATCCTCTCAGGTTAAAGAAAAGAAGACATTTTAAAGTTTATATAAAGTGATCAATAGGCGTGGATACAACTCAAATACATAACATTTCAAAATATGATATAGTGCCCAGGCCTCCGTTTAATATAAACAAGTCACGTGTACCTGTGAATGACCAAATAAATTAGGTAAAGTTAGAGAGGAACATCCAACTAGAGGATGACCCCACTCCACAAACTTCGTTTGAGAAGTTGCATTTAAAAACACGACGAATATGTAAACTGAAATAAAAATTACGTAATATTGTACTGAGGAGTCACTACGGGTTGAGCAAAGTACTGAATTATATTAAGGGGTTTGGGTAAAGAGGGAAGTATGAGGGTAAAGGAAACTGAACCCGTCGAGGTTTAATATCGCCCCGTTACCACATAAATTTTTTCACTTTGAAGATTTTCGTCTGAATGTATTATTGACGTGTTTATTGTATTCATTGGCGAAGTAAATTGATCAATGAAAAACGACTCAATAAATGTTTAACATATGATATTAAAGAAAGTTTGGCTGTTTTCAAAATTATATCAATTCCTTTCTTTTTTCACAAAACTCTCAAAAATGACTTAAATGTTAGTGACGTGACTGTATGCGCAAAAAACTCTTTTGAGACAATCACTATTTTCCATATTAAATATAACTCTGAAATTAAACACTTGAAAACACAGATGAAGTCAGACCAGCTAGGATGAATAATTTTACTAACTCAATACATTACCTTTTCTGAAGCAAAGACTATATCAGACAGTGCGATAAGGGAAAGACCAAATCCAGCTGTTGGACCGTTTACCGCAGCGATCAAAGGTTTAGGACACGTGAGAAGAAGTCGTAGGTCGTATTTTCTGCAAGTCTACACCACAATTTGAACAATCTGTACCTCTATGCAATTAACAGCATAAATGTGCCATTCAATAGGCAAACCAAAAATCAGTACCATCAATAAAAACCATTGAGGTTTTCACAAGAACAATAGAGATAAATCAAGAGGCATATAATCATTTATCACAAAACCTTTTCTATTGTTGATGTTGGCTATAACCAAACTTTTTCCATCTTCTTTTGTAGCTACTTCCTTTCTTTATATACGCAACTTTGAGCAAAGCGAAAGGGACCACTTCAATACCCCAGTCTATCATCACATAAAGAATGTTTAGTGCAGAGTTGATTTTCTGCGAGTATCAGTTGACCACCTTCAGGTGGGCTCATATAATAATGGGGCCCGTCATCATTATACGAACAAACAACTGACATCCACAAAGAATCCAAACTACAAAAAACATTCTTGGCCATGAATCACCATGACACATGAACAATGAAAAACTAGTAAGAGTAATTGAAGTGAATGACAGAGGTGGTAAAGGGACTTTCACAACTCTATCCATGTGGGATCTACAATATGAGAAAATATGAAATAATGATATGCAAAGTAACAATGCATCAGCAAAATTAATTTATCATGAAATCTCATGCATTTCTTTCATATTATATTACGTGAATGTTTTATGCAGTGCGGTGTTTTGAAATTAAATGAGATATGATCTTCGCACTTAGCTGGACAATTTAAGCAATCGTCTCAGCTAAGTGCGAAGATCATATCTCATTTAATTTCAAAACACCGCACTGCATAAAACATTCACATGACATTCATTTCACGAGAAAACATGAGCCCAACAATATTGACCTGCTCACCACTGTGTGACTTCATAGCTCAGTGGTCAGAGCACTGCACCGGCACCGCAGAGGTCATGGTTTCGAATCCCGTTGAGTCACCTGATTTTTTCAGGTCCTGAGACGATTGCTTAAATTGTCCAGCTAAGTGCGAAGATCATATCTCATTTAATATTATATTACATTGACTCCCAAAGACTATAGTTCCTGCACTTAACACCAGGGTGCGAATTAACGGTGTGCAATGTGCAATTTGCACATCGTTTTGGCTAAAATGAAAATAATTGCACATCACTTTTTCAAACGATGTGCAAAAAAAGTTTTTTATTAATTACTATCACATATATTGAAAAAAAAGTTTTTAAAATCTTAGGCCATGTAATTGGCCATGTTGACACAATGTCATCAAATTGAAAAACGTCGTCACTTTGAGACTGGAAAGTCTGTCAACAGTCGACATACTGGTTGACATACATGGTTCTTCTGACCATATACGGATGTAATTCATTTATAAATATTAATTTTTTGCATTGCGCTGTTTTGTAGTTTGTGCATCATTACTTTTTTTAGCATCATAGCTATTTTGAGTGTTTTCGATAAAATCAGGAGACATTTTCCTTCTGATTCCTAAAAAAACCTTTAAAATTTTCAAATTTGAAAAATAAGCCAAAAAGATTTTTGGGAGCGAAACCAAACTGGCAACCTTGATTAACCGTATTTTTTGCTTTTATGCATAGTTTGTAATATGACAAAAATATTTTTTGTTATAAGTAAGCATCAATAAAACATATTAGATAATCAGAAGACAAAAGTAGCTATATGCGGTGCATGTTTCTCTTGTCGCTTTTGTTTTTCTTGCCACGATGGCTTCTTCGTCGAAAGGTTGTACTAGCAAAATTAACACAGTAGAAAAATGGATAGAAACATTAAATGCCGACTGGCTTGAATACGAGAATGATGTGGAAACAAAGAGGACAGAATAACAAGCGCAAAAAATTTCTCTCGCACATTCATAACAGGATAAACTGTTGTAAAGAAAAACGCAGTGGTGAATCATATGAATTCTGAGTTGCCTTTCAAAAAGTATATCCCCATTTGCAAGCTCCTGGAGAAGGGAGGCGTTGATCTAGGTTAATCGTATCGAACAGACCGATCAGCCGCTGAGTTGTCAGATCACATTTCTGGGGTCATAAAAGGAAATCTTGATGAAGATTTAAAGGTATTTAAAGATATTTGTCAGTTTTGTGCGATGGCAGCACCGATACCAGTGTAAAATCACAATAATTATTTTACGTGTTATATGTGAATAAGAACGGTCATAGTACTTGCTAATTGATGTCAGTTGAAACAGTTGAAAACGAAAATGCTTCAGGGCTGAAGGAAGCTATGAACGAAGCTTTTGCCCGTTTTGGCATTACAAACTTTGAATCGAAACTAGCTGCAACTGGTCTAGATGGGGCAAGTTTTAATATGGGGAGAAATACTGGTTTAGAAGCTCGTCTAAAAGAAGTCGCTCCTTGGCTCACTGTCGTCCACTGCTTCAATCACCGTCTAGAATTTGCTGCTGCCGACGCATTCAATGCTACGTTTTTTGCACAAGTAGATGAAATAATGCGTCAAATGTTTTCTCTGTACCAGAAGTCACCGAAGAAACTGAGAGAGCTGAAAAAACTAGCTGAAGTGTATGGAGAAACTGTCTATAAGCCCATCAAAGCAAGTGGGACAAGGTGGATAGATCACAAAGTGCGCGCCACGAAGGTTTTCCTGGAGAACTACGGCATGTATATGCAGCATCTTAAAACAGGTAAAAATGGCTAATTTTCCAACTTTTGCTGTTTTCCATCAAATTTGCATCGCCTCCTTAAATTTTCTAGAATAAAGTTTGCCTGTAATAACAGTAATAAGCATTTTTATTAAATTATTTAATGTCATGTAATATGTTACTTTTTGTTTCTTATGTAGGCCGCAACTACTTCACCTGATGCCCAAAAGCAGAAGATAAATGGATTCCTAGCTAAATGGAAAGACGCTCGTTTCCCAATATGTATGCTTCTATCTTTGTGGACATTATTGGTCCTTTGCGTGTTTTGTCTCTTGGACTACTAACTGACGACAATGATCCAGTTAAAGCTTTAAGGAGAATCAAGGAATTTGACTGGACTATGGTCAAGCTTCAAGGTAGTACATTTGGCAAAGCTACTTTCGATAAATTTAGGAAGGATTGCAAACCTACTGGTGATGACAAGAACCAGATTTCGTGTCAAGATGTTGTGCTCACAAATTATCCCCGTGCACTAAATGGAGCTGCGGGACAACGATAAGAGTGGATAGATGCGATTATCCTCAGTTTGGGCAATCGCTTTAGTGATCTTCAAGAGACACCAGTTTACAAACACCTTTGTCCAATTATAGACACCCAGTCTTGGCCAGGTGAGGAAGTTAATTTGGTGAGCTATGGAGACGAATCGGTTACTCTACTTGTCGACCACTTCATTCAGCTTTTGAAGCATAACATATGGGATGTGTCGAACGATACGATGCTGACAGAAGAATGGAGTGGGCTTAAGTTGTTGATTTCAGAGACGTATGGCAGAGCTATACCATACTTAGATGTTTGGGCTGCCATTCTCTCTTCACCAGTTAGTAAGGAAAAGTTTTTAAACGTTCTTAACATTGTGGAACTGTTATTAATTACGCCCATCTCTAATGCTGTGGTTGAGCGAATGTACTCAACAATGGCCAAAATAAAGCCACACCTACGTAGCAGAATGTCAAGAGGAAGATTGGACAGTCAGCGAATTAGTGAGGAGGGTCCATCAGTGGAAGAGTATGATCCATCTCCCGCAAAAGAGCGGTGCTATGAACAAAAGAAACGAAGGATTAGATATGGAGGCCATGCTTACCCAGAGAAGCGAAAGAAGAAAGTCGATACGTCAGAGGCATCAAGCTGCAGCAAACATTCTTATTTTTCGGACCAAGACTCGTCAGAAAGTAACTAGTCGTGTACTATAACATGATAACTTGTAAAAATGTATACGTTGATAAAATGTTATAAAAATATTACGTTCTAAAAATGTTAATTTAGTAAATAGTGCAGTATAATAATTAATGTAATATCATTTGATTATGCCTCTGGAGAACAATTTTTGTCGAAAATATTTGCACATCGTTTTTTCTCAACTAATTTGCACCCTGCTTAACACCATAAGACTAGAGTTCATGAACATAACTCCTGACTGTTATGGTCTATGCCCCTAAATCACAAATATTATAATGAATCCACCTAACTCACTAACACTATACTTCCTGCACCTAACTCATAAACACTATAATTCACACAATTAGCTTGCAAACACTATATTTCATGCACCTCACACTCAAAAACTAGAGTTTATGCACTAACTCCAAAGATTACATTTCACACACCTAAGTACCAAAAATTAAATACAATAGATTTTTATGAGATGACTTTCATCACAATACCTTTTTTAAACGTATTCCTGACGCTAGCAAACGTGAAAATCAAGTTGTTGGTGAATATATCTCCTAAATATGATTGAAGAAAAACATCGAGCCAAGAATCATCTAAAGATATAGAAACATAACATTAACTTACCACATCGCTTTCATTAAAAATGGCTTCTTCACCAAACTTCAAGAAACGAATTGTGACCTTGCCGAAATATAAATAGCGTTATGTTGCAAAGGAAGCAAAACGAGAAATGTCCGACGTCAATATATCTCATATTCCAAATTTACTTTACACGTTTTTCTGCCAAAACTGCGAGTCGCTCTTTGTTGTCTTCACCTCATCAAGCAAACAATTATAATTTTGAAAACAGCAATTCTTGGTTTTCATGTGTGTCTCAAGGGAATAACAAACAAAGAAAGGGCATCCACCATGTCGCCTAAGAGCAAAGGGAATCCAATGATATTATTTTGTAAGGAGTCCATCAGCATGACGCATATGAAAACCACCAATACTTTCCATAAACTAACAAATTCACAGTTTGAAAACGGATCGCTTTCTTCTATGCCAATTGCATGTTAAAAGTTCATTGCCAATGGCTGCTTCATCAAACTAAATATAAAAAGTGTTATGTTCAAAGGAAGCAAAATGAGACATGTGGGAAGTCATTATCTCACAGTCCAAATTTACTTTAATTTATAGATATGATGCGAACTGTAGAGACGACGACACTTTTCACTTTATTATAAAACACATGTAATATAGACAAAAGAAACAGCCACCATGGGGTTGCTGCAAAACTGCAACGTCAATTTAAATTTATTGCAAAACCAATCAAATTCATTCATATTCATTACACTAGTTTGAATTCATAAAAAAAATTGAAATTTTCGATCCGTGCCACGCCTTAACAGGTTTCTCTAATCTTCCAAGTTGACTTTTATTAAGCATTGATATGTGGTTAATCTCTTTTACCGCGAATTTTGTTGTGGATGGACAACTTTTCGCATTAGACAGAATATTTCACAATAAAAACCGTCTGTGAAAACTATACTTTTAAAATTGTAGTTGTTCATTCCTTTATGCAAGAGAAACCGCAAGTTATTAGTAGCCTTACAGATCTTCTTTCTCAATCAGTAAACCATAAATTTTCTTTTACTGCTCAAGAATCTTTTAAAAAGGTGTTCGAACAGCAAGCAGTTTTAGATTATGTTTTAATTAAGCCATGAAAACCGCATGAAATCTTTGTGACGATCTATAAACATCTTCACACGTTTCTCAAGATCACATTCAGTTTCAGTTCAAAAATTTATATTTTTCTCGTTATTATAAAGAATCTTGTAAGCTTCGCTATTCATAACAGATTAGCTTTCCGCTAATAAATAAGTAATAATGAGCAAAGTACATACAACATGTGGCTTTCAGCTTCGTAAACATTATTCTTCGTTTGTGGCGTTGACAAAACTACAACGAGAATTTCTTGTTTTAAAGTAATATTATTACTCTATAAATCTATTTATTGAGGCTTAAATAATCGCAATGATTGTACTACCTTGAAGCTATTGAATGAAAATTGATGAGAGACTTGCGGGCTTCTTGCGAGATGCGTCCCCTTGCTGCAGAGTATTTGTCCTTTGTTGCATATTCCTGAACCAGCAGCCGGTGGAAATGTCGAAGAAAATCTTCCACCAATAATTAAATACAATAGATTTTTATGAGATGACTTTTATCACAATATCTTTTTAGACGTATTCCTGACGCTAGCAAACGTGAAAATCAAGTTGTTGGTGATTACATCTGCTAAATATGATTGAAAAAATACATCAAGCCAAGAATCATCTAAAGATATAGAAACATAACATAAACTTACCACATCGCTTTCAATTTCATTGATAATGGCTTCTTCACCAAAATTCAACGAACGAACTTTACCCTTGCCTAAATGTAAAAGGAGTAATGTTGCAAAGGAAGCAAAACGAGAAATGTCGGATGTCAATATATCTCACATTCCAAATATACTTTCCACGTTTTTCAGCGAAAGCCGCGTGTCGCTCTTTCTTGTCTTCATCATATCAGGCGAACATTAATAATAGTTTTGAAAACAGCAATTCTTGGTTTTCATGTGTGTCTTAAGGGAATAACAAACAAAGAAAGGGCATCCACCAATAATTAAATACAATAGATTTTTATGCTTTGCGTAACGAGGATTTCAATATTATAGTGAGACCATGCGTAGTGATGTCAGAAGCGCTTAGTTAAAAATGTTTTTTCACATTATTGACGAAAATTATGTATATTAATGTGACGATACAAAAACTGACTTTGACCAAGCCAAAATGAAATTGACCTTTCGTCTTGAACGAAAACATTTCGGCCGTTATTTTGAGAACGAAAGAATGGGTCGAGGACGTTTGTTATATAAATTTTTAAATTGACGGCATTCATGCTGTGATGATGAAAAGAGTTTTGAATTTAAACGAGGATGTTAAAGGAGGAGGTTAATGGTGTTAGGAGGATGTTAAACAAGAAACCAACTTTCGTCCAGCATCAATATGACAGGGTTAATTGAAAGTGGACTGGGACAGATAGTAGATGTGACGTCCTTTGCATAACCCATGATCTTTGGAAAGAGGTACGAACATTGAGCTCTATAATAACTGGAGGGGAAACGTCAACCAAATTACTATAAATTATTAGCGCGCGGCCGCGTGGTCAAAAACATGGCGGGTTTTGGTTGTCAAAGTCAGCGGAAAGACGCGGGCTCATAAAATGAAATTTTTTTCGCCCACCCGGATTTGACAACCACAATTGCGATTATATAAAATTTCAATGCGAAGCACAAAAACTTTTAGAAATTTTATTTTAAAACATGCTGCAAACTTGTTTGGTGTACGGATGCTGAAGTAATGCCAGAAAAGAAAACATTTCATGACACCGGTGAGCAACGTAAGATTGTTTACCATTTAAAGTGTTCAGTGTTTTGTTTTAAGTCAATACTTGAAGTGTGATGGTATATATTTTGTGAATGTTTTTACTTCTAAGTTATAATTTAAGTTATGTATATCCAGTCTTATTTGTTCTTTACTTAATCGCTTGCTAGACGAGGCAAAGCAACCAATTCTTATCGAGATACGCATGTCTTAAAACTCCTTGTTTCAACTGACTTTACCTCCAAGAAATAGAGGATTTTTTCATGATATTTTTCTGAAAACATGAAGCAAATATTAAGAACAGAGCTGTATTGAAATCAAATGCAGTGCAGGATTAATTAATGAACTTTTTGGTGCATGTCGTACAATAAAAAATACCTGTATTAAACAGCTAGCCTGGACAATTTGACAGATTATGAACAATCATGATGATGGTGTTTAAGGGTTTGCTTTATGCTAAAAGTTTTATAAATGCCATCGGGTGTTTCTGTAAGTGAATTGTTTGTTATAGTAAACAGGTTAGTACATCAAAATCAAGATAAAAACTACTTTGTTCAATAATATGCCAAATTATGCTCCTACCTTGAAATATTTGCTCAAGAAAAGCTAATGATGACATGCATGAAACATTAAATATAGTACTGCATCATCTGTCAAAATCCATACGTTTTTCAATTTCAGGTGATTAAAAATTCACATAAGATGCATTGGTTGCAATGAAGTTGAATGTGTAAGAAGCAAAAATTGATGGCATAGAACTTTTTATGTCTTTTGAAGAATTACGATATCATTTAAACGATATCATTTAGTAGCAATGTAGTAAAAGAAGTGATATCTGTCTTCAACATGAGACTTTTCTAATTATGTATAGTTTCTTTGTACAAAATACTATTTTAGAAAACTTGATTTTTAAGTCATTCACTGATATTTTTTACCAAAAGACAAAAAGAAAAATTCAAAGGCATAATGTAAAATTCAAAAGTTTGTCAAGTTGTTTGAACCTAGAAAAAATTAGTATAGGTACTAGTAATTTGTAAGGACACAAGAGAAAATAGTGCAAGAAGGTTAGCATTTTTGAGAATTAATATGTTCTTCTTGACATACATTACACAAGGCCATAATATTATAAATAATGACTGTACAATAACAATTATACAACATGCTAAAAATCTTCACCTACATTATAATTATTTAAACAGGTTTGTCTTCATGCAGCAATAAGAAAAGTGTTATGTCAGAGAAACCAATGCACTTTAATTTAAGAAATCATATTTTCAATGGGAAATTAATGTAGTTCTGTTCAGTAGTAGATCCATGGTTGTCAATGACAATCCAGTTTCTAATATCTTGGCTCAAAACAGAACCAGCAACATGATTATAGAATTTCTGAATTTCGTTCTTTTGCTCTCCTAGTTCAAGATATTTTCTTCATAAGTTCTCAGTAGATTTATCAAAACATCATAATACCTTATAAGACACCCAGAATCAATCCTACCAAAAAACTAAAAAAATTTCATACCTACTTATAATATATTTCCAGTCGACTTAAGTCGTAAGCTAACTTTTCTAACTCCTTTTGGACGTTTTAACTAAGATTTACCCATCTATTCAGGAAAGACAGTTGCACCAAGCTGTTATCAAACAGTCAAAACACAAGTATTTTGCATGGGATTATGCATTAAAGCTTAACAACACATTGAAAGTGTAAAGAATGCCGTTTGATATTTATTTCTAACATAGCTAAAGCATTACTTGAAAAATATACGTTATTTTACAGTAGATTTACCTCATTTAAATGTGTGTGTCTATTTCACAAAAACCTGTAGCATTATTTTCAATATTTTATGCTTACGGTATCGTGGTTGTTTTCGCTGGTTGTCATTGATATAAGCAGTAATAGAGATCCGGATTCGGGAGGGAGCGAATGTTAAAATTTTTCTCAAAGTGGAAGTTTTGACAACCAAAATCTGCCATTACCGCCATGTTTTTGACCACGGGGTCCAGGCCCTCCAGTTATTATAGAACTCAATGGGTACGAAGAGCAAGCTTCAGGACTTTGCCCTAACGTCATCACTGATCTGATAATAGACTGGATATAGCTTCTATAGTAAAAGTGAAGCCTAATTATATATTAGGCGTGGTGATTAAATTATCTCTGTAAAATAAAACGGAAATGAAAATAAGAATAAAGTGAGGAAGAAAGCTTAGTAAATTTGTCTTGTTCTAAAACAACAGTACCCTGCTAATGAAGTCACGGCAAAAGTAACATACAACGTCTAGATAATAAAAATGATAAAAGAAAGGTACAAAACGAATTTTTTAAGCATCGAAACTCATTCTAGATCATAACTGCCTTTGAACTTGGAAAATGAGCTGTGAATTATCTTGCCTTCGCAACGATGGGGCAAATTCGATTCTTGCACGCGCAATTTTCAATTGAACACGAACGCCGATATTTTGTTTTATCCATGACAGATGTTTGAGATAAGTAAAAGGTCACGAAATGCCTTAAATATTCGAAAATCTATGTATATAAAAGTTATCCGCCATACATTTCTATAGAAATTTGTATCTCTTGTGGTACCCGGAAGTGCATTTTGCATATATAATTAGGCTTCACTTTTGCTACCTATAGAAGCTATATCAAGTCTATTATCAGATCAGTGAACGTCATAAAGGGTGTGTGAAATGTCGCAACATCAGAAGCATATACGATATCAATTAGACCAAGTATTGTCACAGATATTCCAACTGCTGGTCCATTGACTGCAGCCACGATGGGTTTTGGGAAGTCGATAAAAGTTGCAACAAATTCTCTAAAATTATGAAGGGGAGACATGTTGATGAACTTTCATGTGAAACAGGTTAATCTTTGTTGCTTTTCACCTCAATATTTCTTTACTATCAGCAGCAAGTTTTTCTGGACCTTCAGGAGGAATGTTCATAAAGTTAGTGAGATCATTGCCACTACAGAAATATTTTCCAGCTCCTGTTATTAATGTCACAACCGAATTATCATCTCTTGCTTGCTTTAGTGCGACAATCAACTCATTGTACATCTGTCAATATATAAATTGAATTAGAATGACTGGCAATGGTTAAAATAATTGACTAGTTATACAGTGGTGGCCTATTGAATGGGTATGACTGGTAATGGTTAGAGATAAACCTTTGAATAAATGGCTGGTCATGGTTAGAAGAGGTGCTCTATTGAATGGTATGACTGGTAATGGTTAGAGACAAACCACTGAATAAATGGCTGGTTATGGTTAGAAAAGGTAGTCTATTGAATGGGTATGACTGGTAGTCTATTGAATGGGTATGAAAGGTAGTCTATTGAATGGGTATGACTGCACTCAGGCGAATGAGATGTTACTCGTTGAAAAGAAACTGACTGCGGTCGAAGCTTGTAACTACGGTTTGGTAACAGAAGTTATTCCTCGCCGAAATTGAAAAAGAAATTAACAACAGAATGAAATACATGGCTGCGTTGCCGCCGAAGGTAGCACAAATCTGGACTTTACCGTTATTGCTTCGTTTCATTTAACCATACAATGCTCTCCATTGCAGTCGCTCTCATTGTCCAAGAAATTATGTTGCTCAGTTGAGCTGGAGAAACTTCACGATGTGAATAATAAAGAATGCGAAGTGCTTGCTCAAAATGGCTCTCGGAGGAATGCGCGCAAGCAGTGATGACTTTTACAACGCAAATCAAAATGTAGTTGAAACATTAAGTTGATTCTTGTTTATGAAATGTTCGATGCATTTTCTTTCTGTGTATGTTATTCAGTTTGATAAAAACCATTTCCACCAAAGTGTTAAGCGTACAAAAGCATCTGCGCAAACATCTACTTGATGTCACGTGACAACATGTTAATTAATGACACTTATTTTTAAACAACTGCATCAATTTTCAACAAATGCGCAAGAAAATAAGGTTATCGCGACTAAGAAGTCCGTTACGCCAGCAGTAAACACTGAAGTCTCAATGACTTGAACGATACAGAACGAGTGTTCGAAATTTTCCAGCAAAAGTTTTTTTGCTATGTTTTGGAACTTGATTCAAAACGCAATTTTTTCCTCCAAAGTAAAGATTTTAAAAATCGTGGTTAAATGAACGAATATGTTTTGTTATTCAACTCAAGTTACGAATGATTTACACCAACAACGCTACAAATTCCGCTGCGTAAAGGTTACAAACGGATCATTGGGGGACACAATATCCTATATGTACAACAAATATTTGCACGCGCTATAAGTCCGATCGCAAGTATACCTGGATGGTAAGCCATTCCTGTAAGCTCGTCCACCATCTTCTTACGATGCCATGTTGCTGATGTACTTTTGAAACAAATCGCGTTCCTCGTGATTTTTATCCTCAAGTTCTTGTATATTACCGTTGACCATCAACGTCTGTTTCTCGAAGGCACTACAATATTAAATATGCTGCTTTACTATTTGCTGACATGGGATTTTTCAAAGTTCGAAACTGTAAATGTTTTCATCATCTTCGACGTGAACGTCCATGAATAACAATAGAAATCTATTGCATTTTCAAAGGTCCCGTGTCCTCTCTAGTTGCTAAGCTCCGCCCACCCCTTCCTCTCCTTTCCAATAGTGCCCAATCTCTCCCTCGTAAAATAGACACACAAACCTGTCTAGAAACTAGTGAAGATCTCGCCAAAAGTGAATTGAGCTCCTCCTCGAAATGTTTGAAAGATAAAATTTCTGCGACAATTCCGCGTTCCTTTGCCATGTCGCAGTCGAGTTTCGTGTTGCATAGAATAACAGACATTGCCTGATTTAAAGGAAATTCACCGTAAGACAAAATGAATTTTTTAAAGCATCTCGGTTCTTTATAAAACAACAATTATGTTTCACGATACACTTTTTTAAGGCGGGGGTAGGGATAGGAGTAAAGCATTTTGGGGAACTTAGATAAAGCTATTCGTAGTTTTAATTACTTTTCAATCTCACAGTTAATTTTAACACCTCAGAACATAACACATCCTCTCAGGTTCAAGAAAAGAAAACATTTTAATGTTTATATAAAGTGATCAATAGGCGTGGATACAACTCAAATACATAACATGGCAAAATATGACCTAGTGCCCAGGCCTCCGTTTAATATAAACAAGTCACGTGTACCTGTGAATGACCAAATAAATTAGGTACAGTTAGAGAGCAACATCCAACTGGAGGATGACCTAACTCCACAAACTTCGTTTGAAAAGTTGCCTTTAAAAAACACGACGAATATGTCAACTGAAATAAAAATTACGTAATGTTGTACTGAGGAGTCACTAGGAGTCACTAAGGAGTCACTAAGATCAGTTCTTACCAAACTGGAAACATTGGTCTATAAACAAGAAGAAGCGTTATGAATACGTTCCGCTTTCGCGCATGTATATTTACTTTTCATAATTGGAAAGGTCGTCGTTTAATTAGATTCGTGCTCAGTTACAATTGGTTTTTTCTATGAAATTAGATTGTCCCCCCGCTATCTAATTTGAATTAGAATTTTAGCAAATTGTGAAGTTGTTTCAAAGTAGTTTGCCACCTACTTCGAACTGCTGAGCACAAAGTAATTTTGCTAACTCGCAATGACTGTTCATGCGTCTATTTCTATAATACTATAGTTCATGCGACTTAAACGATCTCATGACACCGTTGAAATAAATGAAATGGTAATCGAGTTCCATCGGTTCTAATCGCTAATAAAGCGCTCGCAAGAAAAATGTTTCGTTTGATCATAGTGTGTGTGTGTCATCGTGGGGTAACTTCATATGCTGAAAAGACAGTTAAATTTTCCATGCACCTAACTCCCAAAGACTATAGCTAATGTGTCTATTTCACAAAGACTTTAGTTCATGCACCTAAAGGCTATAAAATCTATATATATGTATATTGTTCGTGCATCTTAACAATATAGTTCATGTACCTAACTCCCAAAGACTATAGTTCACAAACTTAACTTTCAAAGAATATCTTTCACACACCCAACTTCAAAGACTAAACTCCCAAAATTCTTCTTCATGCACCTAAACTCGGAACGACTATAGTTCATACACCTAACTCCCAAAGACTATATTTCACGCACGTAACTCGCAAAGACTATAAGATCATGCGTCTATTTCCCAAAGAGTTTAGTTCATGCAACTAACACCAAAGAAAATAGTTAATGTATCTAATTACCAAAGACTATAGTTCATGCACCTTACTCCGAAGGACTATAGTTCATGAAAGAGCTCCCAAAGACTATAGTTCATGCACCTAACATCCAAAGACTATAGTTAAAGCACTTAAATTCCAAAACTTATATTTCACGCACCTAAATCTCAAAGATTGTTCATGCGTTTATTTCCCACTTATTGAACTCACTTGATTGGTGAATTGTATTTTCCCATGTTTTCAAAAACTTTCTTAAAGGTCGTACATTCCAATTCTTGTTCTTAATTCCAGGATCACATACATATGAACTATTGACCAGACAAAATCATGATATCTAATTACAATGTGACATCACTCTTCACATCCATACCATTAGACATAGCCAAACAACACAACTAGACAAATAAAATCCTAGACTTACTCAACCTTTGCCTCTCCACTGAATTCTTCTTCTAAAACTCATACTATAGACAACTTTCAGCGAATCAATGGGGTCACCACTATACACCTTCCTCGCAAAAGCTGTCGTGCAAAACCTCGAAACACAATCAGTCACCAACAGCACAGATGAAACAGACAGACTATGGAATAGATATAAAGACGATATCTTTGCCATAGTCAAGAAAGCCAAAACTGGACAAATGCTACACACCATAAAAATACTACAAAGAAGATAACCTTCACTAAAGACAAAAAACACAACAAGACTAAACAAACAAGTATACGGCATAAATACCCTTACAGACCAAATACTTGATTTCAACCGTAATCATTCCACACAACACAAAATAAGCAACATTCGAACACTTTTCAACAGAATTAACACTCACTGCAGCACAGAAGAAGCCAAAAAACAGAACGCAACTACTTGTTCTCATTTATAAAAACTAGTTACCCTATAGAAACTTTATAGACGAAACTATAAGCAAAATCAGTCAGAACTTTACTACTAACGGACACCTCCCGAAAGCAGACACTGCTATTAGGTCCCTGCCAATACTCTTACTATTAACTTATTTACAACCTCTCATAAGCAGACACCAAAACAATCTTCAAACAATTCTGTAGTGTTTATGGTGTTTCGAAAGTTCACTTTTAGGGTGGTCATGGGAGAAAAATTTACATGAGTTTAATATTTACTGAGGAAATTACCATACACCAGCTATGGTCAAATGGCAATTTTGCACAAATTAACAAATATTCGTGGCAGAGATTGAATTTTTATATTTTCGTTGTTTCAAGAAATTTACATTGTTTTGCTGGCATACGATAGAACATATTTCGCATACCTTCCTCCTAAACCCACTTTCCGTCATATTTTGCCGTTTAGTGTGCATTTCATAGCCGAATCTTATAACTTAGATATTTCATACAGGGACAATCCTTCACCATTGATAAGTGTCGTCGCTTTTGTGCTCGATAAATCCCGCTTCGAAAAAAATATAGATATGACGATATATTTTCGGATATTTTTCGGGGGTTTTTGTAGTGTTGTTCGCAATGATTCATAAATAGATCAAATTGAACCTTAGCCGACAATTACCCCGCACGTGTGATTGGGTCAAGATTGTCTGTCTAATACATTGTATACAGAACCATTTAAAAACCGCTATAAAGCTATTAAAACCAACAAAACACAATTAAAAACTATGTATAATAACTATATATATCGTAACAACGAATATTTTCATATTTTTCGATATTTTCGGTACATCGATATATCGATATACCGAAAACCAATATCGATAAACCGATATTTAAAACCCCGATATTTATCGATAATTCGATATGTCGCAACAGCCTACCTCGCAAGAGCCTTTATCGTCGTAAACATGCTTGACTCATTCATGTTTTCAGTGGTTGACGAGTCCTCATCCAAAACTCTCGAGCGTATGCTAGGTGCTTCAACTACGTTCAATTTCATCAAGCTATCTTCAACCTGGCGTCGTTGTTTCTCTTCTGCCATGCTTGATTTTGTTTCAATGTTGGAAGTTTCATTTTCAAGCAGTTCTTCTACCTCGATCTACGAATTATAATATCTGTCATAAATATTAAAGCAGTTTGTTTATGTAGAAAATATGCAGACACAAAGTTATGAAGAGAAATAAAACATCTTTAACATTGTCACGGATATTACGAGGGGCATAACAAAGTGTTGATGAGTTTGACTAATTCTACGTTTATAAGAAACTTTTAAACAATTCTAACCCTAACCTTAACACTTACACTAACCATAATCTAACCCTGACCTAATCCATACCCTAACCATTGAACCAATGTATGAACTGTAGTCAATTGTAGTCACATTATAAAGCCTACTTCCTATTGTTTTTGGAGTTCAATGTGCATTCTAATCTTTCGTTTCAAATCCGCATTCTATTCTTGTAATCTTGTAGCCCATATTCTTGCAAGCATTTCTCAAATGGATATTCACAAATGGAGACTCGACAAGATATGTTAATTTTTTTCACCAAACAAAAAATTTGTCACAGTCTGTTACGGGTCTTGCAGCTGACATATGAAATGTTTGTAAGTGTGGCAGGAAAATTACATTTATATAGCTACTCTTTGTTTTGCTATGTTAAGCATCACACAATAACAAGAAAACGAATGAGGAATTGGTCACATTTACCACTAAAAACAGTAAAATTCTAGAGCTCCAGTACGAATAGCAAATGACTGTCAAAACGAGGGACGATCTTGGCCCACTGCGATAATATTTTACCAAATGAAGGGGAATTCCACAAAACATGTCCATTTGGACATATTATACAAGTGCACATGTGTCAACTAACCCTGGTTTAACCAAGGTTTGCGTTAAATACGACGCTTTATATTTTTCATCGCTGTAGTATGAACTACTTTGTTGATAAATATATAGTAATTCTGCGAGTAAAATATCTTTACCTTCCTCTGCACAACAAAGTTTTTCTTGTATCAACGCACACAGCCTCCTACTAGCTCAAGAAACAAGCCAAAATATGAAAGAGAAGCGATCTCGTTTGAGTGAAAACTTGATGGTAAAAGTTGAAAAGTTGCTGATGGTTATCGCCATAAATTACCAATGGAAGAATTTACCACCACGATAAAATCAATATTACCACCACTGATAAAGTATTAGTGACCAATGCCGCCAGTTTGCCAGTGACCAGTGGCATGTACGCGTACCTATTTTTCTATAATTGCGACGCATCATGGGATTTACATTCAAATTTATTTTTGTGAGTAAATTCATTTTATCTTTACCATAAAATGTTGTTTTACTTCAAAATCTTCGCTTGTCAGACTTCGTGAGCTGACTAAATCTCGCAAGCGTTCGATCACGGCCATGACCGATTTTTCACCGAGTACTTTGTTGTCACGTGTTCTGACGTTGACCGTGTCTGAGACCGTCTCTTTTCACCAACAACTGTTTAAAAACAACATAAAACCATTTAACCAATCGCATTTAGTAATAAAATGAACATCTATTTTGCTTTTAAAATAGACAACACTTAAAAAGACAATGAACACAAAACAAACAAACAAAACACAAACAACAAACAATCCAACAACAGCAAATGATAATACCTTACATTTTACAACTCGCGCATCAACTGACTACCAAGAACAATAAGTAATGACAAGTGAGCATCACAATGCACAACATTACAAGCAGCACTGACTATAGACAACGACTTACGTTAGAAAGCAGGTTAACAAGCTCAAAACAAAAATCATTGAACAGAATACAAATATCAGCACCTTATAAACGGCTTACAAGCGAACAATTAATAAGTATACCACACAAACTAAAACATCCACATATTTTCCTCTCTGTCATGACGTCTAGAGAACAAATACGGCGAACCTGACTAATGTTGTGGAAACGTCAGTAAATTCTGAACACCAACACTGGTTCCAAACCATTTTAATTTCTATTTATTCGTACAGTAAATAAAAAATAATTTAAAAGGACTTATTAATACCAAGAATGAAGTTGTACTGTGAAAGTTGTGCATTGCCAACTTTCTTATTTAGTGTTGATCCGTGATCCAAGTCTGTATCAACACGATAACCAGCTGCATGGAACTTCTTTTGAATCTAAACATGACCAAAATGTCAATAAAAAAGGACAAAAATTCCAATTCATAAAATAGCAACAATTTGTCCATAGCTGAGTTTGCATTAGCCTGTGCAAGTTCGATCTAAGGCTTACCAAATTAAATTTACCGGTTCGGCATAATTATCATATTTACTACTGACAGGAATTACTACAACTTGATGGGGAGAAAGCCATAAAATCCTAGAAAATAACAGAAAATGCAGTGCGTCAAAATTTTGAAATAAAGTAGTAGAGTAAAATGATAAAAATTTCCAAACAATTAAGAAACTTTGTATCATTTTAATTTAACATTTTAAGGACATTTCATTTGCTTTAAGCTCTGGCATGAGCCAAGAAAACACTCACCATTTTCCACCAAAGCTTTCAGCAAGAATAGCAATCATTTTTTCAACTGAACCTACAATAGCTCGATGAATAATAACAGGATGTAATTTTATATCTCCTTCACCACTGTCAATAGAGTAATAGAATATTGATAAATTACTAAATTGTTACAATTTGTAAAGATCTACAATTTCATGGAAACTTAAACTGTGCCGTAATCCTCTGACTATAATACACAGGCTTACATATGTTTGTGAGCCATTATCAATGATATTTACATGGGGATGGATGCACAGGATACATGCATGGACTATTAACTATTATATTGCAATTATCTGATTGCAATATTAAATGTAACTATATACTTTATATGGGTGGGTTTGTTTGGGCGAGTTTGAATGCAGGTGGGACTTTCAGTGTTCAGCAATGTAGCAGGCTGCATATAAGTATATAGTATATATAAGCATATAAATATATAACAATAGGTTTCTATAGAAACAAATAATCATGTCACTGTTGGTTAAATAAATTAAGTATCAAGACCGTAGTGAGGTTATTCAACTAAAAGCTTACTGGCAAAACTTACCTAGCGTGAGGTTGAATCTCTCAGGAAGTTGGAAATCCAGTTCAATTGTTGCACATTGATGAGACCATCTCATAGCATCAAAAATTTTATATTAATCTATAAATTGTGATAGCAATGAAATTATAAATTCACAATGGTATACATCTGTAAACATAGAAAGCTTCATCCCCATCCCCAGGATTTATCTGCCGCTTTTGACCAAAATTATTCAAAGCTTCCATCAGTTTCTAATGAAGCATAAAACAAACTCATTTAGTTAAACAATTAAAAATATTATCAATCATTAAACATTTTCGATATTTATGACAAGACAGCTAAAAAACATTGTAAAGACTGCATTTATGTTCGCTGTGAACAAATTTCCTCCCTTTTTTGGGAGGTAAACAAACCAATCTGTATGTCAAATCAACAAATGAAAACATTCTATATTTTATTTCATTCTTGAATAACTGTCTATATCTTTGATATCCATAAAGAGGAATTGCACACGATGAAACAAATGTAACTTGATTAAATAGTTCATTGGTTTCAACCATTGAGTTGTAATGTTTGAAATGTTCAAGGTTAGAAGCCATCTTGATTTCAGCAAGCGGAGACTGAAACGAGTTAATATTTTAGTTGCAATATTAACAAATACTAAATAAAATCAATTACAAGAAAACAAAAACAATGATGAACCAAAATTGTTAAAGAACATATTTTAAGTAAAAACGACTCATGCAAGGTAACTCAAATGTTCAACTTATGATGGTGAAAATATAAAAAAAACATGGAGATAAAATAAAGCATGACAATCAATAGATCTTCACTTAGGTAATAATAGCTGCAGATCCAAATTTATAAACAGTGTGTGAAGCACTGACTAAAACATTTTGGCAATCAAATGCACTTGAAAGCCCTGGCAGGTTAGCTAAAGTCCCTCGGTGCTACAAGTCTTGTGACTTTTACTACAAAATCTCCCTCGGCTTTCAAGTACATTTAATCACTAAGTTACCTCACTACCGTGCATCGTTTTACTTATAAAAATATTGCACACGCTAGCTAAAATGTAGATCCCATTAACTACATACATGTATGGTCTTATATGAGCCAGTTTTAAATACTCAAAGAATATTTAGGCAATCAGAGAGTAAAATATTTTTACCTTACTCTGAACAAAACAGTTTTTCTTGTGAGTCTTTTATCGCAGGGATACGTCGGTATAAAATTCTTATCACCAAAATGTTTCAAATTCCAAATTGGTGAAGTGTTGACTGTGTAGTAAGCTGGTCGATACAACTCATACGCAACGCATCGATTTGCTGTTTAAAATCATGATAGAACTCATGCAGATAGATTGGTTTCACATAGCCAGAATAACAACCAATAACTGTTAGCTTCCAGAGCAATTCAGTGAATTCACCACAAATGTCAGTCTGCTACGTGAAGATAGTTCTCTTGCATATGCCTCAAGTCTTTTTTTACGCTTCCGAATTGCATCCTTGAACGCCTTATTTTATACAGTTCAGCCAACATTTACCTATTCTTGCCATAAAATGATTAAGTGTGCTCCAAGTTGACTGAAAATAAAATTGTTCAGCATACGCCATTTTGAAAGCATGTCTATAATTATCCACTATCATCCATTGTAACCACTATCAACATCCTAATGTCATTGGTCAAAAATAGTCACATTTTTATTTACTTTTGCCTTTCATTCATGTCATTTCTAGATATGAATTTTCTTATTCGTCCATAGTTCAATCAATAATAAAAAAATATTTATTGTAAATTTTATTATAGCAAATGAACGTGACGCCAAGAGTTTGTAAATTACATGCAATTTTTCGTCGTGGTATAGTGAACTATCTATCTCGACCTATTTAAGTCATGAAAGCCAACTGCGCCGCTAAAAGGTGCCGAGCCTCATAAGAACTTCCTAATAAAATATAATTTAGCTTCACATGAGCCCATTTGAAGATGTTTGAGCTTAGGCTGCTAAACGTAATTTTTCATGTAACATCACTGACCACTTAAAGTAGAATTACATAGTAATCTCAGATACGTTCATTTTCGTTCTTTGCATTGGACACATGTTCAATCAATCAGTAATTACAAAAACAAGACTTTTGATGTCATGAAATGATCGAATTCTTATCAATAACATGAAACATACAAACAATGTGCGAGTACAAGGTAAAGATTTCCGATGCAGATGCAGAAACAATACAATGATAAGAGGTAATATGTAATATTCAAAGCATGTAAAGCTTTTGTTATTTTATGTACTTCTGGTTGAATTTTTGTGCACAAGTATGCTTTAATAAGCTTTTAAATTGTAGTTTAATACCACTTGAATGATTCTTTATATTTTTATCTTGACAGGGCAAATGTTAGAGATGTATTGTGATATTGTTAGATAAAATTTGCCAAGATTCTGTCCTTCCATTTTGCCTGCGTTGACCTCCGCTTTTTGTTGTTTTTTTAAAGCACGCTTCTTTTTCGAGCGAAACAACTTTGTAGCACAATAATATAGCCATACATTGTACCATTTGATGATGGTTTAATATATTATGACCAAAAGCCGTAAATTTGAATGAAAACGATCAAAACAAAATAACTAATACAATAATCGTTATAAGTAAAACGTTCGCCATGCCAGGTTTCAATAGTAAAATCATTTATCTGACATTGCCGGCTCATGTAAACAGCCTCTAAACCCAGTGAATCTTACAACAACTGAAGCAATCAGTCTACCTACATATATATATCTGAATCATAACGACAATACATTTTTATAGATATAAAATTGCACAAAGTCCTAGTCTCTTGCGGTTTGTACGTCAGTTCCAGTCCTTCAAAGTCGAATATCTACGCGTTTGTACCGTCAGTTTCATTCCCTGAGTGCCAAACATACTCGGCCAATATAAATTTGAATACAAATCTTGCGAAAGCATAAAACTATAAACCAACATCACGACAAACAACACACGAGGCCAACTCCTCGCAAAAGCTATTTTACAGCTGAAACTTTATTTACAGGAGTTCGCGTAACTTACAAATCTTGTAACGAGGAAAATCAAATGAAAATTACACTGCATGCTAAAAAGACAATACATAGAAAATATGACAGAAAAATATTCAAGCATAAACTTTTCTTTCTGGGTCCGTAATTTCAAACGGTGTCAGACAGTGTTTGTCTTTTTTGTCATTTAAGTGGATTTAAAGATCTGTTTTTCCGAATAAAAAAGAAACTTGAATATCCAGTTTCATAAAAAATATTGAGTCGATAACTCGCATTTTTACTTTTTACAGAGCGATTGTATTTTTCATCGATTTTGATAGTGCTTGAAACTTGAAATACTAAATGGTTGTCATCTCAATATCAATAATTGAATATCCTTAAAGACTTTGATTTGTTTTAAAGGAAAACCGCAGCGTAAGAGCAGATCGACTAAGTTGGCCTCATCTTGCTTCTCGATTTATCACTTGATCTTACTTTCCGTGAACTTTTCATTCCAAAATTTTGTTATTTTACGCTTGATCAAGATCCGAACTCTACCATTACCAAGGAACAAATGATTTAAAAAATTAAAATGAAGACGCGTGAGACTAGAGCCTGACATGTGATGACGAATGATGACAACAACATTTTTACTTCAATTTTTGGCTTCGTTATCATTCCAGTTATTCAAATGTCGAGTTCACTGGGCTAACTTGGACGCCATCTTTGAAGCCTGCATGAGCGCCGCCATTGAAGGTACGGAGGCGAAATACATCACTTCGAAATTGCCGAATTTTTTGCAAAAAACAGTGGTCTTCAAGCCAGCTTAATGTCTAAAAATCTTAAACAATGTTTGGAGATTGTTTTTTATACTTTATTGTACGAACATTTTTACTTGCTAAAACTTACATATTACTTGAAGTAGTTTGAGAAGTTCCTTTCTCTTAAATTTATTCTTAAGTTTATCATACATTACATTACAGATGTAAATTTTTTTTTGGGTCTAAGGACATGAGAGTAGAAAACATTGAGGTGTAAAATAATCTCTAAACATGAAAGAAGATGCCGCTATTATACTGGGAAATGCCAGTGAATTTGATGATCAATTTTCACATGTTTTATACTTGTTGAGGTATGTCATTTTGTACGTTTTATGTAAATTTTCGTGAATTAAAAATACTGTGAAAAGTCCCAAATGGATTGCCAGCTGATGAAAATATCATTTTACACCTTAATGATTTCTTCCTCTAAATTGTTTTCATCAGTTACCATGTGGGGCAAAATTCCATACAGTGAAAAGAATTTCTGCTAATTTTATGCTTTGCTGAGCTTCGACACTCTCATGTACTCTCCCAACATGGCTTATATGACGTCAAAGAAAACACACTATAGCTACGGTTGAATGAAAACAGCCCCAAACATCATTAAATATTTGTTAAAATTGCGTATATATTATTACGAAACAGCGATTTTGTGCACGTTATGATGACAAATTTCCATATTGCATTGAAAAGCGTATTTCGAAAACATTTATCAAACGCTGACACTTGCTGGCATGGTGACCATGTTTAATTTAAATACATATGCATATTTTAAGCTGACAGTCGTTTCAAAACTACCGATGGATGTTATTTATTCATCACGGCATAAATGCTTTTCAAACAACATTATTATTCTAAAATCATTACTTAATAGAAATTTGTACAACATTATTCCAAAATAGGTGGAGCCTACTTTGAAATATTACTTCACAAAATTGTTTTCTAAGTCAGAGAGCGAGGGAACTTCTGACTTAGTAAGAATACGCCGAATTCAACAGAGTATATATGCTCTTCAAAATCCAAGATTTCTTAAAATCTAAAAGATAGCCAAAGAACAAATTAGCGACACAATAAAACAAACACATAAACCTGAAAAAGACTGAAGTCACTAAGCTACAAGTCAGTGAAACAAATAAAAAATTTTATACCTCATCTTGTTTTTCATCTTGTTCTCCATCAGCATGCTTCCCGTCTCTCCGTCAGCATCCTCTTCGTCGCTCCATCAGCATCCTCTTCGTCGCTCCATCAGCATCCTCTTCGTCGCTCCATCAGCATCCTCCTCGTAGCGCCATCAGCATCCTCCTCGTAGCACCATCAGCATCCTCCTCGTAGCACCATCAGCATCCTCCTCGTAGCACCATCAGCATCCCTCGTAGCGCCATCAGCATCCTCCTCGTAGCGCCATCAGCATCCTCCTCGTAGCACCATCAGCATCCTCCTCGCAGGACCATCAGCATCCTCCTCGCAGGACCATCAGCATCCTCCTGCAGGACCATCAGCATCCTCTTCGTAGCACCATCAGCATCCTCCTCGTAGCTCCGTCAGCATCTTCCTCGTCTCTCCGTCAGCATCCTCTTCTTTTCATCAGCCTCCTCCTCATCTAAACGAAAATCTAAAACAAGTTAAGATTAGGACAGGAAAAATAATAACGTACTCCTCTATCTTCTTCTTGATCTTCATCTCTTGTACCTAAAAAAAGACTGAAGAAGAAGTTATTTGTTTGATGGAAACAAACAATTGTAAGCACCCACCACTGCCAGAGTTCGCGTTCTTTCACTGTCCGTACGCTCGACATGTCTATAAAAATGCAACAACAATATCATGGCAAGTGATTATGGAGATCGTGCTTTCGCATTGTAATAGTTTTATCATGCTAAAACATTGATATCCATGACTGTACATGATTGAACATGTATGTTAAGTGAACAACTCTTTGAAGATTATAAGACTCGCGGAAAGCTTATCGTTTGAACCGTGCATTGTGTTATAACACCCTCAATGTTATAACACATGCAGTGTTCTGTAACATTGTCAAACGATTTATTACATGCGATATAATTCAAAAATACCTAGATAAAACAAGATAATTAACGAATGTCTCATGCAATATATTCTCTGCTCAACTCTTTCGATTTCATCCAAAAGGTTGTTTAATTATTTCGGTAAGGCACTAAGGTTTATAGATTTTGCAACACTCTGCCCGCATGTTGCAATATCAAATGAATTACCTTCATTCATATATTACAGAATATACTCTGTAATATAATTGAGGTAATTGATTTAAATTCCTCTCTCTTCATGTGCATCCTTCTCGTTTCTTTATGTGCATCCTTCTCGTCTTCATGTGCATCCTTCTGTCTTCTTCATGTGCATCCTTTCTCGTCTTCCATCTGCATCTTCCTGTTCTATCTGCATCCTCCTCGTCTTCCATCTGCATCCTCTTCCATCTGCATCCTCCTTCCATCTGCATCCTTTCGCCTTCCATCCAATCCTTCGTCTCTTCATGCATCCTTCGTCTCTCCATCTGCATCTTTCCTTTGTCTTTCCATCTGCATCCTTCGTCTTTCCATCTGCATCCTTTCTCGTCTTTTCCATCTCGCATCTTCCTTGTCTTTCCATCTCGATCCTGATCGATTTATCGCGTGCCGACGACGCGCCATTTTGACGAGCGACGACGCGAGATTCCGATTCTTTTCGATTTTCGACGCCATCCGACGACGCGATCGACGATTCTGCCGACGACGCGACGCCGATTTGATTCGCGACGCCGATTTGATCTTTTATTGATATCCTTTTCGACGCGATTTGACGCGATGCCGACGACTCCGACGATTTTGTTTATCGATTCGACCGACGAATTTTGTCGCCATTCGACGCGATCGATCTTTTGTGCCGACGATCTCGACGACGCTGATCGACGCGATCGACGAAACGCTGACGATCGACGCTTTTCGCTGACGATTCGACGCGATCGATTCCTGAAGACGCGATTGACGCGACGATCTTTTTCGACGATCTTCGACGATCTTGATCGACGCCGACATCTCCGATTGATCCGCGATCATTTACCGATTTTATTGACCATTCATTTTGCTTTTTTGACTTTATCGAATCGAGTACCGGAATTGTTATGATGAGGAACCATTTCTTTATCTTTGATCTCTTTCCGATCTTTGATCTCTTCGAACGACGCTTTATCTCTTGTTCTCCAGCATCTTTATTCCATCCCTGTCTTCATCTGCATCCTTTCATCTGCATCCTCGTTTCATCATCTTTGTCTCGCTCATCTATCTTAATCGCTTCATTTTTTTGCTCTCCGTCAGCATCCTCTCTACTTTCATCAGCCTCCTCCTCATCTAAACGAAAATCTGTTAAGATAAGGACAGGTAATAACGTACTCCTCTATCTTCTTCCTGATCTTCATCTCTTGTACCTAAAAAAAGACTGAAGAAGGAGTTATTTGTTTAATGGAAACAAACAATTGTTTAGCACATACCACTGCCAGAGTTCGCGTTCTTTCACTGTCCGTACGCTCGACACTGTACATGACTGAACATGTATGTTAAGTGAACAACTCTTTGAAGATTATAAGACTCGCGGAAAGCTTATCGTTTGAACCGTGCATTGTGCTGTAACACCCTCAATGTTATAACACATGCAGTGTTCTGTAACATTGTCAAACGATTTATTACATGCGATATAATCAAAAATACCTAGATAAAAACAAGATAATTAACGAATGTCTCATGCAATATATTCTCTGCTCGATTTCATTGAAAAGGTTGTTTAATTATTACGGTAAGGTACGAAGGTTTATAAACATCATCGCATTTGAAGATTCAGCAACATTTTGCCCCATGTTGCAATATCTTGTATACTCTATAATATATATTTGAGGTAATTCATTTGAACGTTTCTCAAGTGAATTACCCACTTTTATCTCACCTACTATAACATCACTTGATGCTACAGTAGTTCCTCTCAGGAGCAGGGACGGATTAACCAAAGGAAGCTGTCTAGAAGCCTCCACAAACAAGGGCCTTCACATTATTCAAAGGAAGAATAAACATAGTTGCTTTAAAGACGAAGGAAAAGCATTTAGTTTATTTGTTGGATCAATTTCAGCTGATGAAGAACAGACCACGTATGACAACGAATCACAGTAAACTCAGCCATTTTGCTCTGATGAGCATTGAGGACAATATTCTAACAGAAATAAACTTGGAAGAGCTTATCAAAGACTGCCAGAATAAAATCGCAATAACTACTTTATCTCAAGTAGCAGCATTCACTGTCGTATGCAACCGCTTTACACGCTATATTCGAAGTTTATACTTTTATCAAATGCTTTACGAAATTTGAAAGTAAATTTTACTGTTGAAAATGAGCAGCACATTGCGTTTAGAGTAAGGGAAAGGGATCTTTACTACGTATTTTTGCTGCTCAGAGCCTCCACACATCTTAATCCGGCCTGCTCGGGAGACATAATATTATATCCTTTTGTCACAAAGACAAAAGGATTGAACTTGCTATTTCTAACAATGGCCAGTTGTTAGAAATAGGCAAAATGCAAAATCATCACACTTATGTGAATGATAACGATGAATGCAAAAATGAAAATATTTTCTGGACATGTATTGAAGAGGTCCAATAATTGATGTCAAGAATAGTGGGAAACTTTTGGCAGTTTCGTTCGTGTTCTCACTTCAATATGTAACTGAAACTTGACGGCATTTTTGTGCTCCAAGATCGAAACATAGAAATACTAAGAAACCAAAGAAATCGATCATTCCTTCGAACAAATAGGACTCATAACGATGCTTTGAATATGCTGTAACGAGAATTCACATCACAATTGGGTTATACATTTTAATTCATCGATCTCAAACTTACATCTTTATGTCATCGACGATTTTTCTGTATTTAACCTGCCGCTTTCAAACATGGCTAAAATATCTCAACCGTGTCATGTCTTCAGTTGCTCGTCCTTTCCAACAAGTAGTCGCATTTCTTGAAGGCTGTCTTCGACTTTCAACAGACTTTCACCTTTCCCAGACGAACAGCTCGGTCAAATAGGGTTATCGAAGTGAAAGACCCTACTTTTCTTCTGATAACTTTCATATATCACATGAATTAATTATTAATTCATTCGTCAATTTTGTTCAAACCATGATAAAAAGGGATTAAATTCATTGATTGCATGAAAATATATGCAGGGCAAAGACAAAAGGAATTAAGCCTGGTTATAAGTTAACTAACGACATTGGTTAGTAAAAGAAAGCAAAGCCTTTTCCCCAGAGGTTTGGAGAAAACAAAAGAATATTTCTTTTGTTTCCTCAATGAAGAGTTTGCGAAATCAATGATTGTAAGGTTATGACGGCAGACAGAGCATGTCGTGTTGTGGTAAATTTTATCTAGTATGAACAAAAAATTATCTCACCCAAAACCGCAATTCAATGCACCATAGCTAGGAGAGTTATCATTTTTCTCCCACCTGACCACCTTTATTCAACTTGTTACGTCAACAAATAAATTAGAAGGCATATCAAAAGCTTGTAATTTATTCACGTGGGAATCACCCACATGTTATAGAAAAGCTTTTGTCGTGCTCAATACTTATTATGAACATTGGAGCCCTGCTTATTGCAATAATATGACTTGCCATTGTAAAATGTAATGTAATAATTTAACGAGAGAATTTTATTGACAGAACTAAATGGTAGCAAGTGATTCATTTTAGCAATCCTAATAGGATGGGACAAAGGGAAAGAATGAGAGGTAAGTTCGTTTTCAAATAATTAATGAAAATAGGTTTTACGTTAATTGGTTTATGTTTGGCGTAAGGTGAAGCCGGTGATCCAACAATTAACACGTGATTACCCTTTAACCATAATCTCCACATGCTTTTATGAAATCCTCGAGCATCTAAGTCCCAGATTCGTAAACATCTCGCTATATTATTCCATGTTGTCCAGTCGTTAGCATGTTTCATTTCAATATAAAATATATATGTTTTATCAGATGTTTCTGGAACAAAGTCTTTCTCGTTCTTGCAAGGATTTTACTGTGATCCAACGGCTCTGCCAACCTGTAAAAACAGTAGATAGACATCTCTAACAATCAAATGACATAAATATACGCACTATGATGATAATTAGATCACTGAATCACTAAGTAGAAATCTCCTTCATTGTCCTATGAAAAGAAAAATATTGTTGTCAATATTTTATAAAATCCTGCAAGACATACCCTACAAGCCGTTCAATCTCCTTCTCATAATTTTCTTTTTTCAACAATCCAACATTGAACTTAACGTTAGGTTCAGTATTCAACGTATGTTTTTTGAAATAGGATTCTTGAAAAAATACATTCATATTCAGGCCTTTGGCGCCAAAATGGTAGGTTCTTGAGATATCCGGAATGATACATTCACGTCCCTTTTTGTTGCTGTCCATCCTCATCCACATATCCCAATCCCAAAAGAGATCAGGGGTTGGCCATTTTGGCTCAAGTTCTTCTTTATAAAGTCGTCGTTTGAGCAACCTGTTAATGCAAAGAGAAATAATAGATAGAATGAAGTTTATACTATCTATACATTTATAGTGCTGCGTGATGTCATTGTGGCGTGATGTCATTGCAGCGTGAGGTCATTGTAGCGTGATGTCATTGCAGCGTGATGTGCTTGTAGTGTGATGTCATTGTAGCATGACGTCACTGTTGCGTGATGTCATAGCGTAAACAAAATCATTTGTAGTAATAAAAATTCTCACCAGCCTAAACCAGGCATTGTTTCTACACGATATAACATTGCAGGATCATTACACGTGTGATCATAACCCTAAAAATAGAAATACTTGTTTTTGCAATTAAATCATTAATCACATAAATTAGTTTTTCAATGGATGTACCATTTCTAAGGTAAATTTCCTAAATTTCACTTTGTGATGTGCAAGGAAGGAAGCTCGATAAAGACAAACATAATGTAACCAATGAAAACTACAATAAGATAACAGATTCTTGTACGGAGATTTCCATTTTCCATTATAATGTGAAAAATATTTGAGATTTATTTAATTTACATTCTGCACTCTCGTCAGAGATAAACTGGACTCGACAAAAAAGCAAAAAGAATCAGAGACGTTCAAAACCACGTTAATAAAGTTGAAAACGAATTAAAATTTTGTTGTGTACCAAACACAAGCGAACATTAGAGTAAACGACTAAAAAGATGAAAAGAATGTTGTTAGCTTTTGTTTATAACAAACCTGATCATTCCACGCCGATATACAGTACAGACTTTCATCTGTATCCATTAAAGGCAAAAATTGATTAAAATAACTAAATATGTCCACAAATACGTCTAAATCTTCTTCCAAAATAATCATATACCGAGCATTGGGATAAGCATTAAACGTCTCTGTCAATGTTCGCTTGTAATGCTGGGAGGAAGAGAAAATACATTTAAAAGTAATAAAAGGAACGAAAAATTTTGATTACATCGTGTAAACACTCTCAAAGAAAAGCCTTACCAACCTGTGATATTCTAGCGTTCTTACTGCTAATAGGAATATGCTGTACGACTTTTACATCATATAGCCTTGCCACAGCAGCTGGTTCTTCAAAGAATCCATCAATAAATACAGTAAATAACTCCTTCTTTGCTCCATGAGCTGACAACATTGACCGTAAGCCACGATAAAGATAATGTGGCCTGTTACTAGCAATCACAGCAACAGGAATGTCTTGAACTTTTCTAACTTCAACGGTGTTGTTTTAATTTCAATTGGAGCAGGATTATTACCTACAACATTTAAGAACATATTCTGTCAGTTCTTCATATCGTTCTAACATTAGCTGCAATAACAGTGATATCCTTATTTCTACAATTTTTTCCATGGAGTATTCTCAGAATATTTTCTCGAAGTTTTAATGCACAATGTGAATGGCAACATTACTGAACACATCGCTGTACGTTCAATTAAATAAGAAATCTAATCCTACATGGATGTAACGAAAAGATACTTACAACTGCATACACTTCCATAGCCTTCAAACTTATCACAAAACATTCTTCTTCGCTTTGATTCTTCACTGTCATCCCAAGCACATTGAGATTGTTTAGCAGGAACAAGAGGAACTGTAGCACGAGCAGTGACAGGCTCACCCATTGAGCCCTATAAGACCTGGAGGGGCAAAGGGGCCTGGGCCTCGTGGTCAAACACATGGCGGTAATGGCGGATTTTGGTGGTCAAAACTTCCACTTTAAAAATTTTTTTCAATATTCACTCCCTCCTGATTTCTAATACTGTTTGTATGAACGAAAACAAGTGAGAAAAAAACAATTACGATACCGACAGCATATCATGTGAAAATAATGCTTCAGCATTGCGTGAAAAACGCAGTACAGACACAGAATGGGAAGTAATGGTGATCTTGAAGATGAAGACGAGGAGCAAATACAAGGAGAACGACCAATTGTTTTGCCTTTGCTATCTTCATTGCCTGCAGCTTGTCTACAGGAACTGAACAGGACTTCTTCAAACTGGACTTTGTTAAACCATGGCATTCAAGATTATCTGGCAGCATTAGATATCATCAAAAGGCATGTTTGAAATTTCATTATATGTGTTACAAATGGAATTTTAAAGAAACTGAAAGTAGTTTTGCAATTTCTGCTATCGTGAAATCTTGTTCCAAATAGCCTTCAAGGAGAAGCTTAGGTATATTAAACTGTAGTACTCCGTATTCATTCCGTGTTCTAGTTGGTGGTTCGCTCAATCCACATTTCACACACTATACTCGTATTGACATAATGTCGGAATGGTTTTGGATCCCTAACTCTTTGAAATCATTGAGAGAAAGCTTACAAACTAAGTCCGGCGTTATTTTCTCTGAAGTAAATCGCTCCTCAAAGTGATCCAGTCGCAACTTTTGCAAAATAAATGATATTTTGGACGCCATTTTAAAATTATGAAAAAAATAAAATGAAGGATTTATAAACTGATGCGTCAGCGCTGACCAGCAATAGCGGCTCACCGAATATAATGGTCAAAGCACCGCGTATAATGGTCAAAGCACCACGTATAATAGTCAAAGCACCGCGTATAATGGTCAAAGCACCGCGTATAATGGTCAAAGCACCGCGTATAATGTTCAAAGCACCGCGTATAAAGGTCAAAGCACCGCGTATAATAAGCACCACGTATAATAGTCAAAGCACCGCGTATAATGGTCAAAGCACCGCGTATAATGGTCAAAGCACCGCGTATAATGTTCAAAGCACCGCGTATAAAGGTCAAAGCACCGCGTATAATGGTCAAAGCACCGCGTATAATGGTCAAAGCACCGCGTATAATGGTCAAAGCACCGCGTATAAAGTCAACCGCGTATAATGGTCAAAGCACCGCGTATAATGCTTAAAGCACCGCGTATAATGGTCAAAGCACCGCGTATAACGGTCAAAGCACCGCGTATAATGCTTAAAGCACCGCGTATAATGCTTAAAGCACCGCGTATAATGGTCAAAGCACCCATTGAAATAAATTTGCACGACCTAAGACAGCTATGGCTTTCCATACACAGGGATTGGAGACGAGTCAAATCTCTTAAAACTGCGTATGGACGAGATTCTCGCCACTATAGTAGTTTACTGGATGGCACCGTGTTTCGCCTTTATTCCAAAGCCATCATCAGAGAATACATATAATATATTAATCCTAACACAGTTTTAATATGCACATGAAAAACATGTGACTTGGACGAGATTTGAACTCGCACCTTCAGGATACTAGTCTGCCGCTCTACCTGTTGAGCTACCAAGCCCACAAGGATTGGAGATGACTCAAATCTCTTAAAACTGCGTATGGACGAGAGATTCTCGCCACAAAAGTAGTTTACTGGATGGCACCGTGTTTCGCCTTTATTCCAAAGCCATCATCAGAGAATACATATAATATATTAATCCTAACACGGTTTTAATATGCACATGAAAAACATGTGACTTGGACGAACTTTGAACTCGCACCTTCAGGATACTAGTCCGCCGCTCAACCTGTTCAGCTACCAAGCCCACATGGATTGGAGACCAGTCAAATCTCT